AGTTCTGCCCACATATGCAGCGTTACAGGTGCATTTAAATTGGTATATACAGTTAGATCTGGCGTACGTCGACACTGGTTCTTTTACTGGTGGTGTAGGAATCCTGGTGGTTTTAAATCTCATAACAGGCATGGCTGCGTAAAAGGTTTGACGGACTGCTGTTTTGAGTCGGTCATATATACGTTGCATGACGTCGTCTCCCCGAAACGTTAGATGTATATAGGCTAGTTTTTTTGGCACCGACATTTCTAAGGTAACTAGTTTAGGCGGCTGGCAATGGCACTTAATAAAGCCACCTGGATATCCATTAGAAAGCAGTGTTTGTTTAATCGTATCAAACTCAGCTTGTAGCGTGTCGATGGAACAAATCTTCCTAGCACGGTGGAATAATGTCCTCACTAGACCACGTTTGTATTGCAAAGGTGCAAAACTGTTGAAATGGATGTATTGGCCCGTCCAAGTGTCTTTACGAAAAACTGACCTTTCAATAGTACCATCATCTCTACGTCTGATTAAAATGTCTAAAAAGGCCAAAGTGTTACTACTTTCATGTTGTAGGGACACAGTGATGTTTTTGTGCATTTGATTCATTTTGGTGTGAAACGACTCTGCCTGTTGTTTGTTAGTGGCGATGATAAATATGTCATCAACGTAACGTCGGTAAAATACTAAACTATCAATATCCAAAGACATCTGTTCCTCCAAGTGTGCCATAAAGATGTCCGCTAAAATAGGGCCTAGAGGGCTTCCCATGGCCACACCATCAATCTGGCGGTAAGACTGCTTTAGAAAACTGAAATTGATGTTCGAAGTGCACAACATTAAAAGTTCCCCAAGTTTTGAAATAGGTAAACCTACCTGCAGATGTTTATTTTCTATACGGTCACATATAATTTTCACGGTTTCTTCCAAGGGCACGTTTGTAAATAGTGATGTTACATCCATTGATGCCATGTATTTTTGATTTACATTCATTGTGTCCAGTATTTCTGCCAGTTCAAATGAATCTTTGAGTATTTTGGGCTCAAATGATTGTCGTACTGGTTTTAGTAATTCCGCTAGCCATTTAGCTAAACCATGTTGAGCTGAGTTTATCATTGACAGGATGGGCCTAAGGGGCATTCCAGGTTTGTGTACTTTTGGAAGACCATACAACTGCGGTATTAGTGAGCCACACGGTGTGAGCATCTTAGCGGTAGCTTCGCTGATGAATTTTCCTGCCAAGAGTGATTTGATTACTTTCTTCATTTTCGCTTCCATGTTATTAACGTAATTTACTTTGGAATCCAGCAGAAATTTTGATTGATCAGATAATATTTCTTCCATTTTGGTTTGATAGTTTGACTTGTCCATCAGAACTACACCATTTCCTTTGTCTGGTTTCAGTATTATTAATTGTTCGTTGGCTTTTAATGTTTTCAGAGCAATAATATGCTCTTTAGATAATGGACACTTTTGCTTAGACTGGGATGTGCGGTACTGATGTTCCAAATCCACCAATCTAGCTTTTAACCAACCAACCGAATCGGTAGACGACGGGGTCAATGTCGACAGCTGATCAAAGAACATTTCAAATTGAGCTTGTGACTCGATGGGGTTGATTTGTTTAGGTTTTACGCAGAACTTTAATCCGTAAGCAAGAGCTTCAGTTTGTAGTTTACTGAGTGTAAACGAAGACAGATTAATCACATGTTTCTCAGCATTGTCAAGCACAGAAGTGGTAATCTTTTCCGAACTCAATGACTTCTTTAAACGTGTAGTTTCTTGAATTTTCACTTTACCCAATGTTTCAATACAAAACTTTGTGAACTTTAAATAACAATACAAAGTCAGATCGTTAGTAATACTGTAGGCCGAACTGTGAATTCGCCTTAGATTGATCAATTTCGATTGGATTTCTTCTATGTAATTTTTCGTTGATTTAGAATAATCAATACTACTGGTCTGGTTTTTGTCATCAGACATGGATAAAAAAACACAGAAAACCACAGCTGTATCGGCTGAAAGCGGTATCAATTTTAGGCGCAGCCATCTTGGAATAATAAAAACACCAGAATGCAGCTCAATTAAAAAACTATCTATAGGGACGTCTGTTGGCAGACTATATGACACGAATTCGACGACCGTCAAATGTGGTCACCAGGGGATATGGCGGGAAATTCGACGATTGTCAAAGTTGGTCAGCAAAGTGTTAATGAAGTTACTACAGCCTTTTTTCTTTCCTATGTGTAGTATCTTGTCCTCTGTCTTGCCTTTGGAACATTCTTTGTTGGCTTCTGGCATTGTAATTTATGTTTGCTGTCTACACAGGGAATCAATCATCATCAGGTGCCTTGCCGACTGGCGTGGGTGATCATGCCTCTCCATAATCTGTGATCTCCTGCAGCATGTATCAGTTCGTGTGCCAACACACCTCCATGCCACGCAACAAGACTGTCAAGTATCTTTTCTCGTTGTCTTCCTCTATCTCTCCTTCCACAGATCTTTCCAGTGGTCACAACATGTTCTATTTTCCCTCTTCTCATAACATGGCCAAAAAATGATGAATGTCTCCTTCTGATGTCTGTGATAAGTTGTCTTCAGTCTCCCGCCTCTTTCAAAACCAAGGTATTCTAAGCATTCTTCTGTAAAACCACATCTCTGAGGCCTCTAGAAATTGTTTGGCCTGCCTACCAATTGTCCAGGATTCACAGCCAAGGGAATCAATATGGGAAATAATTACAGGAGCTGGTCATCAGAAAATCAATATGGCAAATAACTATAAAAGTTGGTAATTAGTGAATCAATGTAGTGAAATAACTGCAGTTCTCTGTTAGTGTAACAATGTGGCTATAACTGTGGTTGTTTATTGGAATCAATGTAGTAAAATAACTGCAGTTCTCTCTTAGCGTACCAGTGTGGCATACAACTACAGCTGTTTATTAAAATCAGTGTACCAGTGTGGCATACAACTACAGCTGTTTATTGGAATCAATGTACCAGTGTGGCAAACAACAACAGCTGTTTATTGGAATCAATGTACCAGTGCGGCAAACAACAACAGCTGTTTTTTTTAATCAATGTACCAGTGTGGCACACAACTACAGCAGTTTATTGGAATCAATGTACCAGTGTGGAATACAACTACAGCAGTTTACTGGAATCAATGTACCAGTGTGGCATACAACTACAGCTGTTTACTGGAATCAATGTACCAGTGTGGCATACAACTACAGCAGTTTATTGGAATCAGTGTACCAGTGTGGCATACAACTACAGCAGTTTATTGGAATCAGTGTACCAGTGTGGCATACAACTACAGCTGTTTATTAAAATCAGTGTACCAGTGTGGCATACAACTACAGCTGTTTATTGGAATCAATGTACCAGTGTGGCAAACAACAACAGCTGTTTATTGGAATCAATGTACCAGTGCGGCAAACAACAACAGCTGTTTTTTTTAATCAATGTACCAGTGTGGCACACAACTACAGCAGTTTATTGGAATCAATGTACCAGTGTGGAATACAACTACAGCAGTTTACTGGAATCAATGTACCAGTGTGGCATACAACTACAGCTGTTTACTGGAATCAATGTACCAGTGTGGCATACAACTACAGCAGTTTATTGGAATCAGTGTACCAGTGTGGCATACAACTACAGCAGTTTATTGGAATCAGTGTACCAGTGTGGCATACAACTACAGCTGTTTTTTGGAATCAGTGTACCAGTGTGGCATACAACTACAGCTGTTTACTGGAATCAATGTACCAGTGTGGCATACAACTACAGCTGTTTATTGGAATCAATGTACCAGTGTGGCATACAACTACAGCTGTTTATTGGAATCAGTGTACCAGTGTGGCATACAACTACAGCTGTTTATTGGAATCAGTGTACCAGTGTGGCATACAACTACAGCTGTTTATTGGAATCAGTGTACCAGTGTGGCATACAACTACAGCTGTTTATTGGAATCAGTGTACCAGTGTGGCATACAACTACAGCTGTTTATTGGAATCAGTGTACCAGTGTGGCATACAACTACAGCTGTTTATTGGAATCAGTGTACCAGTGTGGCATACAACTACAGCAGTTTATTGGAATCAGTGTACCTGTGTGGCATACAACTACAGCTGTTTACTGGAATCAATGTATCAGTGTGGCATACAACTACAGCGGTTTATTGGAATCAGTGTACCAGTGTGGCATACAACTACAGCAGTTTATTGGAATCAGTGTACCAGTGTGGCATACAACTACAGCTGTTTATTGGAATCAATGTACCAGTGTGGCATACAACTACAGCAGTTTATTGGAATCAGTGTACCAGTGTGGCATACAACTACAGCAGTTTATTGGAATCAGTGTACCAGTGTGGCATACAACTACAGCGGTTTATTGGAATTGGTGTACCAGTGTGGCATACAACTACAGCTGTTTATTAGAATCAGTGTACCGGTGTGGCATACAACTACAGCTGTTTATTGGAATCAATGTACCAGTGTGGCATACAACTACAGCAGTTTATTGGAATCAGTGTATCAGTGTGGCATACAACTACAGCAGTTTATTGGAATCAGTGTACCAGTGTGGCATACAACTACAGCTGTTTACTCGAATCAATGTACCAGTGTGGCATACAACTACAGCTGTTTATTGGAATCAATGTACCAGTGTGGCAAACAACAACAGCTGTTTACTGGAATCAGTGTACCAGTGTGGCATACAACTACAGCAGTTTATTAGAATCAATGTACCAGTGTGGCATACAACTACAGCTGTTTATTAGAATCAATGTACCAGTGTGGCATACAACTACAGCAGTTTATTGGAATCAGTGTATCAGTGTGGCATACAACTACAGCAGTTAATTGGAATCAATGTACCAGTGTGGCATACAACTATAGCTGTTTACTGGAATCAATGTACCAGTGTGGCATACAACTACAGCAGATAATTGGCATCAATGTACCAGTGTGGCATACAACTTCAACTGTTTATTAGAATCAACGTACCTTGAACTGTGTAGGATGATTCAGCTCTGCCTGCAGCTGCTCCAGCTGAACCTTTAGTGTTTCTTCCTCTGCTTGGATGGCAAAACCCATCTTACGGTAGATCTCTTGCTTGACAATAACCTGAAAGAATGTCATTCAATCTAAGAGTATGGAGCATCAACCATTCAAACAGCAGTGGCAAACTACTGAATGCACTTACACTCACACACAAAACCTATGATCAAACCCTAAAATCAATTCAGGTACATTTTTAAACACTCCACTGTCAAAAGACTCAAATGAGTCGAAGAGTTCAGTTTTAAAGAGAAATTTAACAATTAAGTCACAAGATAAGCAATGTAATTAACAACAGAAAATCATCTCTGTGTAATCTGCACAAAAAACAGCAACAAGAAATGCTATAACCTCTGTTTCTTCAGGTTTACTGGCAGTAAACACCTTGTTCATCAACTTCTGGACTGTGGTTTGTTCAGACTTCAGTGGAAACATAGATGCTATCTGTTGGTCAAGCCCCCAGCTGGGAACTTGTTTCTAACATGACCATGGACAGCTGTAGACAGGTCTGGACCAGTATATCAGTCCTGGTCCTGTTTCAGCAACTCTGTATGTTTCAGCAACTCTGTATGTTTCAGCAACTCTGCATGTTTCAGCAACTCTGCATGTTTCAGCAACTCTGCATGTTTCAGCAACTCTGTATGTTTCAGCAACTCTGTATGTTTCAGCAACTCTGCATGTTTCAGCAACTCTGTATGTTTCAGCAACTCTGTATGTTTCAGCAACTGTATGTTTCAGCAACTCTGTATGTTTCAGCAAATCTGTATGTTTCAGCAACTCTGCATGTTTCAACAACTCTGTATGTTTCAGCAACTCTGTATGTTTCAGCAACTCTGCATGTTTCAGCAACTCTGCATGTTTCAGCAACTCTGTATGTTTCAGCAACTCTGTATGTTTCAGCAACTCTGTATGTTTCAGCAACTCTGCATGTTTCAGCAACTCTGCATGTTTCAGCAACTCTGCATGTTTCAGCAACTCTGCATGTTTCAGCAACTCTGTATGTTTCAGCAACTCTGTATCTTGAATTTTATAACAATTAAAAACAAAAACACACCGTCTAACAAGATACAAAAACGGATTATAATATACCACAACCATCCTGTAAGTTAGCCGCGTTGCCTTTGCAGAACCAACTCCAGAAATTTTTAGCTATTGGCTGTTTTTCTAGGCAAATGTAAGTTTAGTAGTTTGCCACTGCTTCTGAATGGCTGACTCTCGATACCACTGTTGACACCATAGCAGGATGATCTGCTGTCAAATCGCCTGCAGCTGGGATTGAAAACAGCATCATGAAGCATGCATGCAACAGATAGGCCACAGATGCCGCCAACCATCATGTAGCCAGATAATTTTAGGCTGGGAAAATGAACCAGAACCACTATCTGTTTTTTCATTTGCAAGTGCACCAATCGTCTTACCACACAAGTATGTGATAAAATATGAATGTATTTAAAATCAGAAAAGTTTGTGTAGGAAGTACAGCATTCAGGAACATATCAGCAGTCAAACTGATAGACTAAGGATGATGACATGGCACAACAGCTTCAGAGAACCTACTTTGAGCAATCTGTGTCCGAGCTCCAAATCCTTGCGTTTGTAGTCCTCCAACTTGGCCAGCATGGTGCTGTGTTGTGTCTGTAACTGTGTTATATCCCCTGATATTACCTGCAGAAGTTAATGCCATGTATAGATGAGAATTTCTAACAACAATAAACTGCATCACAATTATACAAGTTCATTGAGAAGCTAGCAAAACCTGCATATTTGATTATATTTTTATTTACCCCTTGCACTCTGACCCAGGATAATGATGTCTTTAGAAGAATGCAGTAATGCAAGTTCAGTCTTAGGCAGAGAACAGATCTTTTACAACTGGTGTGACTCTTGAGATCCTTCACGGCAATAATATGTACCTTATAGAAAATGTATACATCACCTCTTAAGGCATACTAGGTATCATTTCTGGCCACATCATTTCACAGACAAATCAGCACTGAGAAAATGGTAAGCTTAACATGAAACTCGCTGTCTTACTTACGAGAATATTTCCTAGTCCATTTTAAGTTGAATCAACCCTAGATCCCAGGCCAATTAAAGTAAAAATAAAATGTTTCTGTAAGTCTTCTTCTTCTGCCCTTTCATCCCCTCAACCCTCTCACGCCAAGTCATCCTATCTTCTGCCCTTTCACCCCCTCAACCCTCTCACTCCAAGTCATCCTATCTTCTGCCCTTTAACCCCCTCAACTCTCTCACTCCAAGTCATCCTATCTTCTGCCCTTTAACCCCCTCAACCCTCTCACGCCAAGTCATCCTATCTTCTGCCCTTTAACCCCCTCAACCCTCTCACGCCAAGTCATCCTATCTTCTGCCCTTTTACCCCCTCAACCCTCTCACACCAAGTCATCCTATCTTCTGCTATTTCATCCCCTCAACTCTCTCACTCCAAGTCATCCTATCTTCTGCTATTTCATCCCCTCAACTCTCTCACTCCAAGTCATCCTATCTTCTGCTATTTCATCCCCTCAACTCTCTCACTCCAAGTCATCCTATCTTCTGCCCTTTTACCCCCTCAACCCTCTCACACCAAGTCATCCTATCTTCTGCTATTTCATCCCCTCAACTCTCTCACTCCAAGTCATCCTATCTTCTGCTCTTTCATCCCCTCAAGCCTCTCACGCCAAGTCATCCTATCTTCTGCCATTGCATGCAGCTTACTTCATGTCTTCCCGACATTTTTTTAACTTCACTCCCTGGCTTTCTTCCCCCATGTGTTTTTTGGGTCACCTTCTCCGCACCAAATCATTATTCTTCTTTTAGAAGAGCCTCTTCCCTGTTGGTTGGCTGGGTATTACCCGTATCTTATTTTTTAACCTTTCCATGGTTGGTTGGTTTTTGTGGCTATCGTCTTTTATGGGATGAAGCAGCCAACTCCAAGCCCTTAGTCACCTCTTATGACAGGCCTGGTAGGGTGTGGTGTATTATTCATTGCTACCCATAAGGCTCTGGTAACACATGGGCATGTTACTAAGTAGCAGACGGTAACTCAATTAACTAATAATATGCTTGCTCAAAAGTATTATAAAATGCCCACCCATTTAAATTGTCCATGTCTTCTGCTAACTATAATCATCTAAGGTCACAGGGGTGTCACAATCAATATGCCACCATTATTGTCTGCTACTGCTTCATATCTTAAACACAATGTAATGTTGTAAGTTCAGGGTTTCCTTTGCCTGTCCCTTCATTGCCGGTCTTCTCTTGCTCTCTAAAAGGTTGCTTCTAACACAAAGTATGACCACTACATGACTACATCCAAGCATGAGACACTGCTACCGACAACAGTAATCCCTGCAAACCTTCATATACATTACTGAAATATTCCATATGTTTCATGTGTAGTTTTTCAAAGTTAGCATTTTTATTTCACATCTCAGTCCCTATCACTTCCTTTCTATATTGTCATTTAACCAACCTGGGGCTTAGTTTATCTTGTTTTCTAAAATATGTGGATTCTTGTAATTTTCAAGTTTTGTAGCTTTTTTTAAAAATAAATTAACTAATAGATAAGGACTTCAGTTGAAACATTCACTGTTTTATTTCTATTCATTTATTTTTCAGTACCAGTTTCAGTCACCCTTTTTTTTCAATGTATCTGTTTTTTGTCTTAATTTTGTTTCTACACATAAAAGGAAAAATGCTTTCTTGTACTATAAAACTAAACTCAGAGAAAGTCAGTCATCAATTTCTGGCAAGGCTAAATAAACATGTGGAAACAACTTATATAGACTAAGAAAACAGCATTGAACTCGCAACAACTAGGGAGAGCACTAAAGGACTATGAAAGTAGTCAGCACTTTATATGTTGTGCTGTATATTCTTTAAAAAGTTTGGCTTTCCTCCGAATAATGGTCCCAAATTATCAAGCCCGAAAATATACCCTAACAGGGCCTCAGTCAGATGTAAATTGCAGACTTCCAGCGACAACCGCCATCGCCGAGAGTATCTCCCACGCCACTATACGCGGTGTGGAGCTAAACTAGATAGCTAGGACTCACTAGCAACAGCTACCGCATCTCCTGCAGCTTCCTTCATTTTATTTGCTTGCGAGTCCCAGCCATCTAGTTTAGCCCCGCTCCACGCCGCACGTAGCGGCGTGGAAGATACTCTCGGCAATGGCGGTAGTCGCCGGAAGTCCGCAATTTACATGTGACCGAGGCCCTGTTAGGGTATATTTTCACCCTTGATAATTCGGGACCGTTTTTTGGAGGATAGCCAAAAGTTTTTTTCACTTCATTTGAGCTGCTACATATTCTCTAAAACAGTTATATGTTTATATGCAGTGCAATGCATTCTCTAAAAACTTATGACCATAGCCTGTTTAAAAACCAGCAGTGAATGTCAACCACACTGATGCACAAGCTGGCAACTCAATACTTCACCCAGACCTTTCTGTAACTTTGTGGTAAATGAACTAGGAAAACAAAGAACTTACATCCAGTCGCTGCTGGAAAAGCTTGGTCTGTTCAGCTTGGTATTTCAGTCTTCTATGAAGTTCTTTGAACCCGATCATCGGAACTGGGATATATTTCTCAGGATCTGGGTTATCTAACTTTGCCTGCTGCCATAAAAGTGGATCCACACCTAGTCAAAAAATAAGTTATGAAAATAACAGAATGGCAGAGAACTTGTACAAAACAATGTGTCACTAAAGTTAACCTCTAATACTCATTACGAGATAGATCTCAATTCAGTTAGTAGGACTATGTATGTGTGAGCACGTACATGTGTGCACAAATATATATACTTGTATGCATCAAATATTACCAACATCTGTTAATGTAAGTAAAGTCAAGGTAGTTTTTCATGCCTTTTGGTGCACTGGGCTTAAACAGTTAGACCCATATTTCTATAGCCTAACTGGCACTTGATGAGTGATGTCATCAGCATAATCTCAGCAAGATCAGAACCCCTGACCTTCAAGCCAGATAGTGAGTGTCTGGCTCAATGATGATCACTTCTACAGGACTCCAGGGATACATTCAAATGCCACCTTAATGCAGGTTTTTTTTCAAGGTATTTTGACTTTCTTCAAGGGTGTACCAGGCATATGCGCATGTATACGTATGAGTATATCAGCACAGATAAAATGTTTTTACATCTTTTTTAGACCTGGTGGCAGAGGGGAGCAGAGAGAGGAAGGTAGTGATACACAGAAAGAGAGAGGGGGCAAGTAAGGAGACAGACAGAGAATAAAACTATGTCAGAGCTGCTAACAAACATAACAAAACATCAAACGAAAACATACACACACACAAAACACCAGCCTCATGTTGAAACTCCACTCATTCCCCAACCATAACACAATTTCCTCTGGACTGGACACAACCACACACACAAAGAATTACTGGGCAGGGTGGGTGAGAGGTAGATGAAAAGAAGGAGAAGAATAAGAGAGAGGAGAGCGAAAAGAAATTTAGAGAATACGAAAGATAGTGAGGAGACCGAAAGAAGAGAGAGGGGCAGGGGGAGAGTGAGAGAACACAAAGTAAAGATAGAGGGAGAGAAAGGAGAAGAGAGGGGTAGAAAAGTGGAAGATCAAAGAAAGAAGGGGTGGGGAAGGAATAGTGCGCTGAACACCAAAAACAGAATTGCCAAATCTAAGTAATATCACTGTTCCCAGCTCCCAGCCTCTCCCAAAAGTACAACTGCTGTGTGAAAAATGAGTGTTTTAGAGGGCTAAATGAAAGACGGGCCTGCATGCCCAGTTTGTGACCCTCTGAAAATAAAGTGCATTTGTTTTTTCCCAGTGTGAACATGGTCGTTGCCCAGAAACAACCGTGCTGACCTGCTCCCGTTCCATTCTTGGCTGTCCGTGTGTGGCTGCAATTGTTTGTTAATTTCTTACACTCAAGCTGGGTCGACCTGGTAGCCAAGGTCATGTTTGAAAAAAAGTCCAGGTCTGTCAGGATACAAACCCACGACCTTCCGATCCACAGTTGAGCATATAGCTGCTACACCACTGTGGCTCCCATCACCACATCAGTGGTGACAATAATAGAGAAGAAAATAGGAGAAGAAAAGGGGAAGGGGACCCAAATCAACAAACAGGTTATAATGGCAAAAATAGAATTAGGAAACTGAACTGAGGCCACACACCCCAAAGCCCCCAAACTTTCCATACCGGCCCGAACCTTTCTCCAATGCAAACCTTAAGAGTTGCCTAACTTTGCCTGATTTCCCCAAAATGTATAATATGAAAACAGGTCACCATGCCAGGAAAACATGTCATGTACCAGTGGACTCCTGTTTCATTTCTGATTCTACTGTCTTCCTTCTTCCTTCCCTTCTTCTTCTTCCTTCCTCACTTCCTCTTTTACTGCTGTGGGTGTAGAGGGAGATATAAGATTCTGTTTCTAGCTCTTCTGGCCGCCTCGACCATAGGCACATCGTGCTGTTGTAGAGCTTCTCTGATGTTATCCTTCCATCTTGTTCTTGATCTACCTCTTGTTCTATGTCCTTCTTCTCTTTCCATGTATGCTTTGTATGGTATGGTGTCACAAGGCAATCTCTCTAAGTGGGCAAACCATTTGATTCTACTGTAACAGACAAAAAAAGAAAAGGGGTTGGGGGTTGGGGTGAGTAGAAGATGGAAAGGGGTAGAAAGAGAAGGAGAGAGCAGAGAGAGAATAGAGAGTAAGAAAGTAAAAGTCATCACACTGAGACAGGGGGAGAAAGAAAAAGCAGGGGGAAGAAGGTAGCAAGAGTGCGGGCCACCCTGGGTAACACCACTGTGGGCAGGTGAGGGTGGGGTGATGCGCTTTTTAAATGTTTTATTTATTAAACATGTATGAATGTGGAAAGGGGGAGGGGGGTATGTTCTGCATCTGGTACCAGCTGACCTGGCTATGCCGAATGAAGGTAGGGAGAGAGGGGGTAGGGAAAGGGGATTAGAAACGAGACAGGTTAAGACAGCTCCCTCCGCATCGTCGAACCCTATCCTGCAAAGCAAATAATGAGACCGTGAACCACATATCGCTTGCCTGCTCACAGATCGCTGGCACACATTTAAAACGATGGTAGCCCACACAGTTTGCTGACGATCAGTTTAAACGGCCTAGCCGCAAAAAGTCTGACTGCTGAAAATCACAGGAAATTCTCTTTCTGTTATGTGCCTGGGTTACGTTGTGCAAAGTTCATCGATTTTCGCCAGTTTTCATTTTTTTTTCGGGGTGTTTTTTTTCAAGACCTTGAGAGGGATCTGGCACTTCTTGACCTTTTCAAGGTTACAAGGCCCGCTACGAACACTGCGGTCAATGACTTGAGCTTTTCAAGGTTACAAGGCCTGCTACGAACACTGCGGTCAATGACTTGAGCTTTCCAAGGTTACAAGGCCCGCTACAAACACTGCGGTCAATGACTTGAGCTTTTCAAGGTTACAAGGCCTGCTACGAACACTGCGGTCAATGACTTGAGCTTTCCAAGGTTACAAGGCCCGCTACAAACACTGCGGTCAATGACTTGAGCTTTTCAAGGTTACAAGGCCCGCTACGAACGCTGCGGTCAATGACTTGAGCTTTTCAAGGTTACAAGGCCGGCTACGAACGCTGCGGTCAATGACTTGACCTTTCCAAGGTTACAAGGCCCGCTACGAACACTGCGGTCAATGACTTGACCTTTTCAAGGTTACAAGGCCCGCTACGAACACTGCGGTCAATGACTTGAGCTTTCCAAGGTTACAAGGCCCGCTACGAACACTGCGGTCATAGACTTGACCTTTTCAAGATTACAAGGCCCGCTACGAACACTGCGGTCAATGATTTGACCTTTCCAAGGTTACAAGGCCCGCTACGAACACTGCGGTCAATGACTTGAGCTTTTCAAGGTTACAAGGCCCGCTACAAACACTGCGGTCAATGACTTGAGCTTTTCAAGGTTACAAGGCCCGTACGAACACTGCGGTCAATGACTTGAGCTTTCCAAGGTTACAAGGCCCGCTACAAACACTGCGGTCAATGACTTGAGCTTTCCAAGGTTACAAGGCCCGCTACGAACACTGCGGTCAATGACTTGAGCTTTTCAAGGTTACAAGGCCCGCTACGAACACTGCGGTCAATGACTTGAGCTTTCCAAGGTTACAAGGCCCGCTACGAACACTGCGGTCAATGACTTGAGCTTTCCAAGGTTACAAGGCCCGCTACGAACACTGCGGTCAATGACTTGAGCTTTCCAAGGTTACAAGGCCCGCTACGAACACTGCGGTCAATGACTTGAGCTTTTCAAGGTTACAAGGCCCGCTACGAACACTGCGGTCAATGACTTGAGCTTTCCAAGGTTACAAGGCCCGCTACGAACACTGCGGTCAATGATTTGACGTTTTCAAGGTTACAAGGCCTGCTACGAACACTGCAGTCAATGACTTGACCTTTTCAAGGTTACAAGGCCCGCTACGAACACTGCAGTCAATGACTTGACCTTTTCAAGGTTACAAGGCCCACTACAAACACTGCGGTCAATGACTTGAGCTTTTCAAGGTTACAAGGCCCGCTACGAACACTGCGGTCAATGACTTGAGCTTTTCAAGGTTACAAGGCCCACTACAAACACTGCGGTCAATGACTTGAGCTTTTCAAGGTTACAAGGCCCGCTACAAACACTGCGGTCAATGACTTGAGCTTTTCAAGGTTACAAGGCCCGCTACAAACACTGCGGTCAATGACTTGGGCTTTCCAAGGTTACAAGGCCCGCTACGAACACTGCGGTCAATGACTTGAGCTTTTCAAGGTTACAAGGCCCGCTACGAACACTGCGGTCAATGACTTGAGCTTTCCAAGGTTACAAGGCCCGCTACGAACACTGCGGTCAATGACTTGAGCTTTCCAAGGTTACAAGGCCCGCTACGAACACTGCGGTCAATGACTTGAGCTTTCCAAGGTTACAAGGCCCGCTACGAACACTGCGGTCAATGACTTGAGCTTTCCAAGGTTACAAGGCCCGCTACGAACACTGCGGTCAATGACTTGAGCTTTTCAAGGTTACAAGGCCCGCTACGAACACTGCGGTCAATGACTTGAGCTTTCCAAGGTTACAAGGCCCGCTACGAACACTGCGGTCAATGATTTGACCTTTTCAAGGTTACAAGGCCCGCTACGAACACTGCAGTCAATGACTTGACCTTTTCAAGGTTACAAGGCCCGCTACGAACACTGCAGTCAATGACTTGACCTTTTCAAGGTTACAAGGCCCACTACAAACACTGCGGTCAATGACTTGAGCTTTTCAAGGTTACAAGGCCCGCTACGAACACTGCGGTCAATGACTTGAGCTTTTCAAGGTTACAAGGCCCACTACAAACACTGCGGTCAATGACTTGAGCTTTTCAAGGTTACAAGGCCCGCTACAAACACTGCGGTCAATGACTTGAGCTTTTCAAGGTTACAAGGCCCGCTACAAACACTGCGGTCAATGACTTGAGCTTTTCAAGGTTACAAGGCCCGCTACAAACACTGCGGTCAATGACTTGAGCTTTTCAAGGTTACAAGGCCCACTACAAACACTGCGGTCAATGACTTGAGCTTTTCAAGGTTACAAGGCCCACTACAAACACTGCGGTCAATGACTTGAGCTTTTCAAGGTTACAAGGCCCACTACAAACACTGCGGTCAATGACTTGAGCTTTTCAAGGTTACAAGGCCCACTACAAACACTGCGGTCAATGACTTGAGCTTTTCAAGGTTACAAGGCCCACTACAAACACTGCGGTCAATGACTTGAGCTTTTCAAGGTTACAAGGCCCACTACAAACACTGCGGTCAATGACTTGAGCTTTTCAAGGTTACAAGGCCCGCTACAAACACTGCGGTCAATGACTTGAGCTTTTCAAGGTTACAAGGCCCACTACGAACACTGCGGTCAATGACTTGAGCTTTTCAAGGTTACAAGGCCCGCTACGAACACTGCGGTCAATGACTTGAGCTTTTCAAGGTTACAAGGCCCGCTACAAACACTGCGGTCAATGACTTGAGCTTTTCAAGGTTACAAGGCCCGCTACAAACACTGCGGTCAATGACTTGAGCTTTTCAAGGTTACAAGGCCCACTACAAACACTGCGGTCAATGACTTGAGCTTTTCAAGGTTACAAGGCCCGCTACAAACACTGCGGTCAATGACTTGAGCTTTTCAAGGTTACAAGGCCCACTACAAACACTGCGGTCAATGACTTGAGCTTTTCAAGGTTACAAGGCCCGCTACGAACACTGCGGTCAATGACTTGAGCTTTTCAAGGTTACAAGGCCCGCTACAAACACTGCGGTCAATGACTTGAGCTTTTCAAGGTAACAAAGGCCCACTACGAACACTGCGGTCAATGACTTGAGCTTTTCAAGGTTACAAGGCCCGCTACGAACACTGCGGTCAATGACTTGAGCTTTTCAAGGTTACAAGGCCCGCTACAAACACTGCGGTCAATGACTTGAGCTTTTCAAGGTTACAAGGCCCGCTACAAACACTGCGGTCAATGACTTGAGCTTTTCAAGGTTACAAGGCCCACTACAAACACTGCGGTCAATGACTTGAGCTTTTCAAGGTTACAAGGCCCGCTACAAACACTGCGGTCAATGACTTGAGCTTTTCAAGGTTACAAGGCCCACTACAAACACTGCGGTCAATGACTTGAGCTTTTCAAGGTTACAAGGCCCGCTACGAACACTGCGGTCAATGACTTGAGCTTTTCAAGGTTACAAGGCCCGCTACAAACACTGCGGTCAATGACTTGAGCTTTTCAAGGTTACAAGGCCCACTACAAACACTGCGGTCAATGACTTGAGCTTTTCAAGGTTACAAGGCCCGCTACAAACACTGCGGTCAATGACTTGAGCTTTTCAAGGTTACAAGGCCCGCTACAAACACTGCGGTCAATGACTTGAGCTTTTCAAGGTTACAAGGCCCACTACAAACACTGCGGTCAATGACTTGAGCTTTCCAAGGTTACAAGGCCCGCTACAAACACTGCGGTCAATGACTTGAGCTTTCCAAGGTTACAAGGCCCGCTACAAACACTGCGGTCAATGACTTGAGCTTTTCAAGGTTACAAGGCCCGCTACAAACACTGCGGTCAATGACTTGAGCTTTTCAAGGTTACAAGGCCCACTACAAACACTGCGGTCAATGACTTGAGCTTTTCAAGGTTACAAGGCCCACTACAAACACTGCGGTCAATGACTTGAGCTTTTCAAGGTTACAAGGCCCGCTACAAACACTGCGGTCAATGACTTGAGCTTTTCAAGGTTACAAGGCCCGCTACAAACACTGCGGTCAATGACTTGAGCTTCACAGTAAAGGACACCATGTACTGGACCAAACAAAATCTGGTACACTAGATGATGATGATGAAGATAACATGACCAGCACATACGCAGTTGTTCTTCAGATGGAGGATGATTGTCAAGCATAACAAGTTCATTTTGAGTAGCCTTTCTCCATTTACAGACAGCATTTTCAGCCATGGACATGTTCTGGTCTCTTGTGCCAGGCCCACTTTTTTTTTCAGATGCCCCTACATTAACTCCATCATCATTGTCGCTACTTTCATTTGTTTCGAAGTTGGTCACCAGCAGATTTGGCCGGAAATTCAACATTGGTCAAAGTTGGTCAGTAAAGTGTTAAAATGGACAAGTGTGGCATCAGCAGGTTAACATTACAGGGACTCATATTAATATACTGTCTGGGAGATGCACAAGTGCCAGAAAATGAAAGAGCAGATTGTCTGGCTACAAAAGTGATGGCTAGAGGTATACTCGTAATGGACAGACATTCTTAAGACCATTTATGAAAAAATGGTTGATAGAAGACATGTGGTTAGGTGAAATAACGTGTGAGCAAGGAATTAGGTTTGGATCAGGCAAGGAGGGACATGAAAAGAATAGAATGATGAGTTTATAATCAGTTTGCTAAGGAAACAGCATCTACACCTTAAGACATTTGCTGTGGGAGATGGAGCACCTATGGGTATGCCCTGTGTACTATGATGTTGATTGTTAAATCAAACAATTACCAGCAGGAGGCTTGTCTAAATACTCCTTGAGCTGCTCCTCTGTCCACCCAACTTTAGGTAAAATGCTCTCAACCATAAGCTGTGTAGCTATCTGATTTTTCTGTGCTGGCTGGTTCAAGAAGTTGAACAAATCATTAGCTGACACTCGTTTGGCGGGCCCTTGCACTGGTCGCTCCAGAACATAAATGACAACCTCGGTTCTAAAAAATAATGAAAACAATTATTTTAAAATATTCAAATATTTCGAAACTACAAAAAATAAAGCAAAGTATTAGGCGATTTTAAGTTTCAAGTCAACAGCTGCAACACAAATACATGGAGGATGATGCCACTCTCTGTGATCAGTCTTCAAAAAACAAGAGTGTGAATAAACATCAAACAGATTCTTATTTTTGCAATTGATAAGGTAAAACTTTCAGCAATGTACATTCTTGGATGCACAGAAAGAAATGTTTGTAAAAGAGAAAAATTATCATCTTTTGAATGATCAAAATTTTAATAAACACTAAAAAAATAATGCTGTTAAATGTGATACATTGTAAAATAATGGATTTTTAGATTTCATTGCATAGTGGGAACAACATCTATGAATTGTAGAATCTTGGTTCTATAATGTATTACAGAATTGTCCTATTCGTATTATTAGTCAGTATGGAAATGGTCATTATGATGTTCCCAGCCTCTTCTCACACATACCAACTATAACCTGATAAGTTGTCCTTATCTACATCTTCCCATTTATCTTGGAACTCTCCACATTTTCCAGTTTAAGCCTTCTTACTGTGAGTTTCTTCTTTGATGCTAACACCAATCTGAATATATTTTAAGAAAGCAACAGTCAATCTGAGGTCTGCAAACAGTTTGTCCTCAAATAAAGTTGGTAGAAAAAAATAATTTATAACATATTAGCGTTCATTTAGTTTTCCTCAAATTCTATATTTTAAACTAGCTTGCATCTTTAATAATGTAAATCATGTAAAGATAGTTACCTGTCTTCAGGCAAAGGTTTAATGCCTTCCACACACACACTCAGAGTGGGTCGACTACCTAAGATCCTGTGTAAAGTGTCCACCACCTGCTGTTGAGCTGCTGCAACCTCCTCTTCCTTACGAGCCAGCACCAGTGCTACCTGACCTAGTTCATTACTGCCCTTGGGGATTAAGTGGTAACCAAGCGCCTGCATAAAGAAAACAAACTGGGTTTTAACTTGAAAACAAACAGTAGTTGTTAATGTGAATGGGGCCAGCCATATTTTGTTGTTAGGTTTTGTGCTCTTCCTGCTTTGTCTGGGTGATACTGCTTGTGTCAAACAGGTCACTAGGATATGGTCATTTCACTGCAAAATTTACAATATTTCCCTTGTTGTTACTTCCAGATCTTGTGCTGATAGCCACAGCAGAACTGGTAGAGAAACACTGATTTAAGCTCCTGATAGTACATGTTTTTTTATTTTTAACATCAATCATCTGTAATGCCCAGAGTGCAGTGATGTCAATTCTTGATTCATTCATTCAGAATGTCTTGACCAAAGCAGGTGTTGTGTAGTTGCAGGGTTTCTTCTGAAACTGCTCTTAGTACCTGATCATCTACAAAGAGGACTGCACAAGTGACATTACTTGTATACAGTAAATAGCCCAGAAATCAAATATCAAGGTACACTAGATAAAGGCAGTCCCAAAGTTGGTAGGGTCATCTAATGTGAACTGTTAGGCCTTTACATAGTCTAAGTCATGAAATATGAGATGGAAGTGTCCAGTTCCTTTCCTCACTGCCTTTTCTTCACACAACATTCTGGAAATTATCTGGCACATGTTTATGAGGCTGAGTCGATCTCATACTTCTCCTCTTCTTTGCGGTCACCAGCTGTAAACTCTGGCGGAAAGTTATGGTTGTTCATCCACTTCTGGACTGCAGTCCTGCTCCAAAACCTGAGTGTTGTGTGTGCATCCGTTTTACAGATCTGACTCATTTGTGTGCAGACTGCTGGTTCCTTGCCTCTCAGGCAGATGCACTCTGACTTCGAAGGAAGCTCAGAATTAGTCAACATGCTGTTGGGTAGGCAGTGGGTCTATTCTTGTTTTCCCTATAATAGGGCCCCGAAACCCACACGGGGAAGAGCCATACTGTTTATGGAATATATTGTCATGGCAGGCAACATATCATAACAACATACTAGACTATATTAAAGCTTAGTAAACCATCAGATCTACTGCAGAATATGACAAGATTAACATTTTTCTAGCAACTGAGTTACTTTTATCTGATCTTCTGTTTATATTTCTTTAACTAACAAAATCTGACTTTTTATATCAAAAGATTCTTTTTTAATTCTGTTTATTATAGTAAAAAAACTAAACTGATTAACTGTGAATACAAGATATGTTTTTTTCAAGAATAAACTGCAACAATGCCTGTATAGTATTAAATAAATCAATATAGGAATATAAGTATTTAAGACCTAATGTGTACTAGTTCCATACCTTAAATCTGCAGAAGTGATTTTCAGGTTTGAACTCTACAACCCCATTGATGGAATAAAAACCTTTGCCTGTGCCCCAGTATGCCTGTAGCTGATTCCATTTGGCAATGATTGCATCTCTCTCATCTCCATAAATCTGGGGCAGGGAAATAGCCAAGGCAACATTGGCCAGGTTGGCTTCTTCCTGCTGCTGAGCATTCTGAGGCTGGGCTGCTGGAGCTGTGTGAAATAACAGTGTTCATTATAAAGGCACTGCGCCATCATCACACTTACTGCAAGTCTATACACAAGTATTGATGTAAACAAACTGTCAAAACTAATCAGTGCCCATTTCCATGATACCACTAATTATAACATTCAGAATTATTAAATAAGAAGCGATTAAGCTGTCTGACATATGCGCTGAAGGTTGTGGGTTGGATTTCTGACTCCACCCTCTGGTTCCATATAGAGGTGTGAAATAAATTCATGAACTAACATCTTAGCCATAGAAGCATTTATTTCTGCTAGCATATTTCTCTGTAACTTTCTGTAAAGCAGTTCAGCTGCAACAGCCACTTCTAGTTCACTTAACTTGCATGTTTCCTTTCAAATTTTATTAATGGGCAGTACAAGAATAAGAATGTAAATTTATGCACAAATACAGTCAAAATGGAGACTAGGGATTAATGAACAATGCAAAGAGATCTAAGTAAGATTCAATTTTCCATGTTATTTTTAGTTCCACTTAGACACAGAATACACTGATACGTACTGACATGTTTACCAAGGTATTACTTAACACCTAACAACAAATTCATATTACGACAGCCTAATAAAAAATGTAATCTTTACCACCAAAAAATCCTGTTCCTGAGGGAGCTCCAAAAGTAGATGCTCCTGAGGGTGCTCCGAAAGCAGACGAACCTGTAGTTCCAAATGCTGATCCTCCGCCAAACCCACCAAATGCCCCTGTAGTTCCTGTGGATGTTAGACCAGTTCCAAATCCTGTAGTCCCTGTGCCAAATCCTCCAAAACCTGACAGAAAAGAAAAATGACAAAACATAAAGTAACACTCTATCTATACAGGACTGTGTCAGCAGTAAATGGCTCCGGCTGGACTTAGCCTCATACAAGAGGCACCAGACAACTGTCTAGGTACTTGGGTTTGATACTTAACACACAACATATTAGTGATTTTGAATTGCATGTGTCCAGTAATAATTTCCCCATGACAGCTTCCTCTTTATTTGAGAACAGAACTGAAAACCATTTAGGTAACTTCAGAACAAAGATATATGTCAGCCAAGGATGTGCAATGCTGTCTGATTAACTTTCATTATCCACAAAACAAATCAAAAATTACAGTCTTGCTTTGAATGGGAATAAATTAAAAGACTCATTTTCAATTATTAATCAAGTCTGGCATTTAATAATACATAGAGAACATTTAACTGAGTCTTATAAATCTGTACAAAATAAACATTTCACTATTATTCATATAGTGTGCACGATTATTTCTAACTATGTCAGGGATTTTTTGGGAGGTGTGGGGGAGGGTAAATTTTCTGCTTTATGCCTCTATATGGGCTTTCCATCACATATAGTGCAGCTCATTAAAATGCTCTATCAAGACCAACAAGCAGCAGTCAGAATAGATGGAGAGACATCAGACTGGTTTGGCATCAAGCAAGGAGTCCGTCAGGGATGTGTGCTGTCACCGTATTTGTTCAACCTGTACGCCGAAAATATAATGAGAAATGTAAGAGATGATATGAACAAGGAACAATATGATGCCCTAAACATCGGTGGTCATGAAATACCAGAAATTCGTTATGCTGATGATACAGTATTACTATCAACATCACAAAATGGTTTAGAAAACTTATTAACCTCACTCCAAAGAAATAGTGAAAATCATAACTTATTTCTTAACATAGCAAAAACAAAGATAATGCATACAAACAAAACTGCCATGGAGAAGGAAATATATGTTAATGAGGAAAGATTGGAAGTGGTGGAAAATTTCGAATATCTTGGGTCACTGGTTACCAACAATGGTGACACAATGAAAGAAATTAAACGGCGACTATCAATTGCTCTTCAAAGACTAAAACAACTGAATAAATTATGGAATTGTGCAGATAGAATTACAAAGGTCAGATTTTTAAGAGCATGCATCTTTCCCATTGCAACATACGCCTGTGAGGCCTGGACACTTACTAAACAAGCGGAACAGCGCATAAATGCATTTGAATATAAATGTTACAGACAGGTTCTAAGAATATCTTGGGTAAAGAAAAGAACAAATGCATCCATACTTCAAGAGCTGAATATTGAAGAGGGTTGGCTAGTAAAGACAATAAAACAAAGAAAATTGAAATATTTTGGTCACTTGAAACGTCATGGAAGTCTAGAGAGAACAATAATGGAGGGGTATATGCCTGGGAAGAGAGGAAGAGGAAGGCCAAGGAGAAGATGGGTGCAGGATGTGGCAGATGATCTCCAGATGGGTGTATCAGACGCAGGACATCTTGCTCAGGATAGGAAGGTTTTCCGGAGGGTTGTTATGGCAGCGAGGTGCCGCGAGGGACATGCTACTGAATGAATGAATGAATGCCTCTAGGTGTCACATGTTAACAGATTATCAATATCCCAGCTATGGCATGCTTGGTTTCCCAGTACGCAATAATATTGTGAAGTCTCAAGATATCAGTGAATCCTTCAATCCATATTCTTCTTGGGTGTTCCCTACGTCTTGGTGTTTCTATTTTCATTTGGTAGGCTCTTGTTTATCATTGGATTCATTCTCATTAAATTTAAATTGCCAAACCATTTTAGTTTTTGTTTTTCAAAGGATTTAATTATAGGCATTGTTCCAATAATTTGTGTAGTTTCTCAGATGACCTTTTTTAGTTTTGTTCACAGCCTTTATCAAACATCTCATTTCACATGAGGTTCGTTTTCTTTCATGTTCTTTAGTCAATGTCCAAGTATGACATTGGCACAAGGTTGGTATGAAGCCTGCTTTATAATTTGTCTTTTTATCTTTATTGAGATAGCTGGGCATTTCAAAATTGGGATCAGTTGATAAGTGACATCACTGGCTTGATGGATTCTTGGCTTGATCTCTCTGCTTTTATCTGGCATCATATGTAATGATGCTTCCCTGAGTATTTAAAGTGTTCCACTTGTTTTAAACTTTTGTCTTTTATCCTTATGTCCACTGTTTGATGTTCTCTACACATGGCACTGACTTTTTTTCCCCCATTCAACCAATGTTTATTATTTTTATATGTCTGCTAAGGCATCTGTCGTGTTGTTGGTTCACTAGTAGTGTGTGTGTGTGTGTGTGTGTATATATATATATATATATATATATATATATATATATATATATATATATATATATATATATATATATATATATATATATATATATATATATATATATATATCTTACCAGAAGGTGTAGTGGTAGTTGTGGCACTGAAGGAAAACGGTGATGCTGATGTCGTTCCAAAAGTACCGAAAAGTGATGAAGATGGGGCTGCTGTGGTTGTTGTCCCAAAACCGCCAAATCCAAAACCTGTGCCAGCACCTGTAGTCGAGCTAGTTGTTGCTGTGCCAAAAGTCCCTAGCCCACTTCCAAAACCACCTGTGCTAGTACCAAAGCCCCCAAACCCCGTTGAAGTCGCAGGTGTAGTTGTAGAGCCAAACAAGGTTGGCTGGGATGTAGCGGTAGTGCTCCCGAAACTAAATGCCATGGTTTTGGTTTGTGATTTAACAAGCGGCGATCATCTCATGCAAACACAAGCGCACTGAAGAGCTCCGTTATCATGATGTGTGCGGTAGACCTCGCAGTGTAAAATAGCCACCGGAAATGTGTTATCCCCTATTTTGTGTACAAATGCTGCGTGCTGACATCGTGGTAAGAATGTTATTAACTGTTGGGGCTTTACGGAGGTGCAATTAATTTAAGAGAATTTGTGTTTTAAATAAGCAGAGTTGTGTTTTATGGTTCAATAACGCGATATCAAATTCATTTAACAGGTATCATCACCACATTGACAGTGTGAACACTGAAGGTAGGTTGGCGGCAAGCAGTCAATACCGCAATATAATATGAAAATCACCTATCACTATCAGTATCTTGAGTATCAGTGGAACGCCTGCCTAACCCTCGTCCTGGTAGAGTGTTGTTTGTTTTGTTTACAACACGGTTCGGTCTCACTGGAACTGTTTATGCTATGTATCCACCACCTCTTAACATTATTCCCCTACATGTTGATCAATAAATGATACTGGATACTATACTTTGCTTAGGTACTTTAGTAGTGAGAGTCAAATTTTTAAAATGCCCTCTACACCAATAAAACCAGCAGTTAGATAGCTGTAAACAATCTCTTTCCAACTGTACCTCATTTAGGCTTGTGTGTCATTTCTGATGACATTTTTTGTATTTTGCCGATCTGTATGCTTTAATGACCGATAAATTTGCGTGGGTAGGGGTAGCGTTAGGGTTGCGTTTAGAGGTAGGGTTAGGTTTAGCGTTAGATGTGACAATTTTGACGCCGTAGTTCCCTATAATCGCGCACAGTCACATACACTCTCAAACAGTCGACGGACGGTGGATGCTAATGACACGGACAATTCGCCACCGATTGGGCTCCAGCCGCCCGCTATTGTTGTCATATTTGGCAGAATTTCAGTGGCGCCACTCCCACAAGCATCAGATTGTCGGCCACTATTTCGACCAAATTTTCACATCTAACCCTAACCCTACGCAACCGTAGGATGATGATAGAACCCTACGCAGAAATACACGCAACTGTAGGATGATGATAGACACCCTAAGCAGCCCTATACGCAACCGTATGATGATAGGTTACCCTTGACGCAACCCTACACGCACCCGGATGATGATAGGTAAGTATGTCATTTGATTCGTGACTCTTTCCGCTACTTGTTTTGAGTGCGGCCAAGGGAGAGAACTCCTACTAAAGCGACCGAAGGCGTCCCGCTTGCGTCCAAATCTGCTAGGAGAGCCGAAATTTTATATACAAATGTAAAATTGGACGGAGAATTCAATTATAACTAGCATTACCATGTCTAGTAACAGTTAAAGCCTAAAGCCAACCCTGAATACTTATCGCTATTTTCAATCAAACTGATGTAACAGAAAAACAGAGGACGTCCGGCTGTCGTAGACATGTGCTGTTAATCGGGTTCCTTCCCGCTTTTTTTCAGCTTTTTATAGTGGGTGAAAATCACACCAATCGCAAAATTTCATGAGAGATTAGGACCCATCCCGAAACCCCAGCCGACATTTGCGAAGCAAGTTTCAAACGGTTTCCAGGGTAGCGGAAATTGCCAAAAGACCGCAAATTGCTGAACACCGTAGTCGCTACTTTACTAGTATCACAGTCTGCCACTTACTCTTACTTGCTAATTTTTTTCCTTTTTAATTATTTTCTTTTCTGTTCTAATTATTATTATTTATATTTAACTGAACCAATACAATACAATATTTCGTTATTTCTTCTAGTATGTTTTTTGGCTCTCTTTTAAATAACGGTCCCAAAAGATCTACGCAGAAAGTTAACCCTAACAGAGCCTCCGTATGTCCTGCCCTACAAACATTTAAAAGCTGTAACTCGGGAAATATTACAAACGAAAAGTATGAGGAAAATGGGGGATTTCTACTACTTACCGATATTGAAATCCTTTATACGTGAAAATTGTGGCACAGAAGTTGCAAATAGTGCCCGAATATCTGTTCTTTCTCGCTGTGCCGCCATTTCAACAGGCCGCAGCTTGTCTGCGATTCTCCTTGCGGGCGAGATATAATCAATAATGAGCGTTTTGATGTACGCGCATGTCGCCTCGGGACAACTTCAAACCAGCAGCCGCCACTATGCGCTCCACTATCCCGACGACCCCTTGACCGTGTCGAATGCGACCACGCCGGCAGTTGCGACGCAAGAAGTATCTCGTGACTGTTTTCCTGCGACTATAGTGCCACTCTCCGAGAGTATCCGCCGCTACGTGCGGCACGGAAGGGGCTAAACTAGATGGCTAGGATTCACGAGCAAATACAATGGATGAAGCTGCAGGAGAAGCGGTAGCTGCTGCTCGTGAGTCCTAGCCATCTAGTTTAGCGGCGCGGGGATACTCTCGGGGTGGCACTATAGTTGGCGAAAAGTGGTCCGCAACTTACAAATAACTGTGGCCCTGCCGTAGGATATCGCTGCCGGGAGTATTCTTGCGTGTCGCTAATTTGTCGTGCGTAGTTAATACTAGTTTTGCTGCCGTTTAATCGTCGTAAAAAATTATGTTGCGTTTTGCAAAAATGTCGTGCGCAATTAATCCTACTTTTGACACGGTTGAATTGCCGCAAAAGAGATGCACATTTTAGATATGAGTGGGGTCCTGTTTGGGTTTACTTTCTGCGTAGATCATTTGGGGCCGTTTTTTTTATTGGAGTAATTATTAAATACAAATATTAATATAATATACAGTTTGGCTATAATGTCAAATGAGTAAATTTTAGGCTATCCTCCGAATAACGGTCCTAAATTATTAAACTGTGTAGGTATCGACAGCATAACCATATGCATGCTTGCTGTATTAATTATGTATTCATTGACTGTAAGTTAGCTCTTAGAATGTTTCGGAAAAGGGAAACCAACTACAACACAAGCAGTTTTAAAGTGAAATGATAATTATTTTATGAATAATTTTAATGTCCTTGATATGCTGTCAAGCTAACATACATTTTTTTTTTGTTAACAGGCTGAATTGTGATTAAAGTTTTGGTTATTATGGCCAAAAATACAGATGATGTTGAAGAGTCTGGCAGCCAATCAGAAACAGAATCATCTGAAGATGTTGCCTCTGATGACAGTGATGATAATGCCATGGACATCAGTAGCAGTACACACATAAAAGACAGCACATTTCCACTGGCAGACTTCAGACTTTCATGTCTACATGACATTGGTGCAGAAGATTTGTCATCTGCTTTACAAAAGTATCAGCAAATATGTAAGGGACTTGACAAAGATGTTGTGCCACAGAGAAGTATTACTACTTCGATTAGTGCAGACTTCACTCCCTGGTGGGAGGGATTTACAAAATCTGACCATAAGTCAGTCATCACATCAGTAACAGAACCAAACACAGGTGACTTTTGTAGATTTTATAGTATTCTGGTATGTTTACTGCCTAATTGTTGTGCTAGCAGGAAAAAGAAAAACTTAGAATAAGGCTGGTTGTGGAAAAAGTAAATTGTGGTTAGGACAATAAGTAGTTCCCCGCTGAACAAGAAAAGTAGAGAAAAGACAAGGGTTCTTCTGTGCAGGGGCCATGAAAAATGAACAAAACATTAATAAAAGATATGTGAATAAACACAACTGACTGCAACTATATAGGTAACGCCTGGAGGCCACATGCATGAACTAAATGTTCTATCTTGAATCAAGCAAATGAATATAACCATCACATTCAACATCTGTTTCTTTTACTAAACACAGAATCACTTGGTTCACAAATAGCACTACAGTAACAAGAAACATCTAGCAGAGGTGAAAATTTGCTTCAAGCGACATAAAATCTGAACATCTCAGAGCACTGATATCTAGCTCGACACAGTTTAACTAGAGTACACTAGATGTTCAGGGTATACAGGTAGATAATGGGGGCACTGCGTGGAATTGAGTAAATGTTTACGCTGCTGTTGACTCTCTTGTCGCAAAGGAACACTGGGACTGGCTCAAATCGTTAGGGGAAATCCCGGGTAATAGGCTTCTCAATTGTGGGAATTTCAATGCACAGAACAGAGCATGGGACAATACTAACAAAATTTGACAAGAAAATGCTTCAGCAGAGGCTATGGTGGATGCAGACATAGTCTGTATAGACGATGGGAGGACTTGTCTATTTATTTGGCATTTGTTACCCACTCAGCAGTGCTGGATGCAAAATGGAATGTCCTAGTCGATCATGAGAGTGACTATATGCCATTCTTGATTTCTAAAGCTAGCAAGATCAGGGCTGTGAGAACGTGCAACTCTTCTAAGTATGAGAGGGCCAGTACCCTTCTTGGACATCTTCGACAGAAGGCATGCAGCAGAACTACCACCTCTGCTTTTGTACAGCCTCCACGGTGGACTCAAGAAATAGAACAGGTGTGGAGAGGAAAGCGAGCAGCAGTTATACAATTAGAGAAAGTGCAAAAGCCACGTTACAGGTTACAAGAGGATGTAGAAAGAGTTAAAGAAAAAGTAGAAGAGTTCAAGCGGTGTACAACAGCTGCAAAAAAAAAAGGTTAAACCGGAACATTTTATGCTGCAATCTATTCCTCCATTCCATCCTATCCTGTGCGACCTGTTTAGTATTATGGATGGAATCCAATCTAGCAGCTTTGGCCTCTCTCATCGTTTGTCTTTTGGCTTTTTTCTTAAGACGTCCTCGTTTTCTTAATCCCTTCATTTCCCATTTTAATGCATGTTTGGTGATTCTCTGCATTTAACTTTTGTTGCATATCTTTAGTGGATCTCCAACTTTCACTTGCACGTGTTAAAACTGAAATATCATTGGAAGGGGAAATAGGTAACTTGGTTTTGAAACTATACAATTTAGAGTTCCTTATTTTGTTCAGGCTGTTGAAAATTGCTGATGCCTTGCCGGTGCATCATAATTTCTTTCTTTGTGTTTTCTTTATCATCAAAATTACTACCTAAATAAGTAAATTGATCTGCTAATTTAAGTACTTTTCTCTCTAGTGTTACATCTGCTTGATCTGTAGTTTCTGAGGGGGGGGGGGTTCAGCATGAGGCTGTGTTTTTCTTTCTTTGATGTATCTTGTCTCCCTTCCTGCCCCTCTCTCTTAATCTGTGTTTGTCACTTCCTTCCTTACCCATCTCTCTCTCTCTCTCTCTCTCTCTCTCTCTCTCTCTCTCTCTCTCTCTCTCTCTCTCTTGCTTTATGTCTGTTTGCCTCCCTTCATCACTTCCTCTTTGTATACCTCCCGCCCATTCTCCTGCTCTGCCTTTTTTCTATTTTTTTGGTTCTTTCCCTCTGTCTGTTTGCCTCTCTAAGCTGTCCATTTGTCTCTCTCTCCTTTATGTCTACAACTCTCTCTGCTTGCATCTGCTTCTCTCCCTGTCCGTTCTCTCTCCGTCTCCCTTCCTTCAACTCTCTTTGTCATATTTTCCTCCTTCCATATCTCTGTTTTGTTCCCTTCTTCCTTCTCTCTTCATTTGCCCATCTCTGTATCTGCATTCCCTCTTTCTGTATTTGTCTCCCTTTCTGTCTTTCGCTGTCCCTTCCCCACTTTCCCTATCATGTCTCCATCCCTCCCTCTCGTTTTTTCCTTCTTTCCTCCACCTTCATCTGTCCATCTTTACACCGTCTCTCCCAGTCTACCTCAGCATGTATCTTTCTCCCTCTCTGCATGACTCTCTTTCTCTCCCCCTAACCTTTTCAGGTACCAGGTCCAGAACAGACAGGACTTCAGTTTGCTGCCCTCCACCACCAAGTCTTAAAAAAATTTTCAAACACTATATCAAGCGCAGGGGCCAGCCAACACGAAGATGGGCACAGGATATAAGTGACTCCTTGAGTATAAAAAAGTATGTGCTATCATATATGCTATTAAATGTCACTGTCCAGCATACATTTGGAAAATGACCGACCTGTTTCATTTTGATTTTTACTACTATTTTATGCAAATTTATGTGTTTATTCATACAAATATTGCAGATGGTGATACATACGATAACTGGTTTGACAAAAATTCTGCGATGGGATCTAGTTGGTTGTGTGGCCCAAGGTATGATCTTGTACACATTTTTGGTAGCAAATTAAACTTACTTGTTATTTGCAATTATGTTAATTTAATGATCACTGAAAAATATATGTGCATTACCTTGGAAACAACTAAATATGTACTGGCAGTGACCATTCTGGAAGCCAGAATTCTGTAGTATGCTCTGACTAGATTTAATAGAACACATGATTTGTATCAGGTGCCCTGATTGGACAGAACTAGTCATCTATTACAGATGGTTTGGTAGTGTTTTTCTTAATGATTGTTGTTGGTTTTTTCATGGATATTGTAGATAAAGCATCTTGGTTGCCTGTTTAAGTAATTTGTCAGTTGTCCATAGGCTGCTCTCATGTATATTTGAGTCTGTGAGCCTGAACTGTCAGGTTAAGACAGGCTTTGTATGCTGGCAGTGGGTTGAGTCACTGCAAAGGTCCACCATGTGTGGTTAACTTCATCTTTGTCACAGGGCATGCATGTTGTTGGCAGTTCAAGAGCTGATGGTGTTCTGTCATAGTTGCATGTGGCCAGCTAGAATGTAAATGCACTTGGAGATAGAGAGCGGATGATCAGGGAATTTTGGAGGCAAGGAGTCCAGGCCGACCAAGAGAGCGAGCATTTACAGTAAGGACCAGCACAGAAGGCACTACAGATGTAAACAAGGCTTGTCACTCAGTGTAGGACTGGTGCTGTTAACCGTGGGATCTTGATGTGTGTGTAGACAGTAGAACCTCAATCACCCAGCCCAGTTTAAATTCTTGGTGCTGAAATAAGGAAAGGTAGCGGACTGTGATGATGATGATGTCAGTGCAGATGACATTACAGAATGGATGCCAAACAATGTGAAATGGTGACACAGGGTGAAGTGATAGAAGAGGAGGAGGCATCATTAGATGAAAAGAAAAATCTTATCCTACATTTGGAAGGGTTCAAGTCGATTGAAACAGTGTTGCAGTACATTAGTGAGCGGAGGAAGCCAGGCAGGCAGACATGCTTGTGTATGTGATGAGGAGAGATTGTGTTCAAGGAGAGGACAGAATGTGCGAAGCAGTAATCCATCAGAGACTTTTTTTTTAAAAGGACTACAAACTTTAAGTTTTGACTCTTTCATCTCAGGCTGACCTTTTGTCATTTGTGTAATTACTTATCAATTAACAGTTTTAAAAGTTAAAAGAGTTTAAATACTTTGTAAGTAAGCCTGCATTTTTACATCATTCTTTTCATTTTAAATGTGGGTGATCTCTTACAGTGTGGTGTACATGAATGCATTTAATTAATTTATAAATTTTATCTTAAAATGTTAACACAATTTTTATTTTTGGACTTTTTTGTGTCCGTAATAAATATTTTAATCCTACAGTACAATACGTAAAAAGCATCTGTAAAGTACTCGCCTATACAAAAAGATCAGGAAAAAATACATAAGAGCGGTTTATGGTATAATAAGGTGGGGGTTGTTTTTTTTTTAGTAAATGGGAATGGTCGAAACTGAGAATTTATAGAACTCTGGCCCAAAACTCTGCCACTTAGCCCTGATATTGCAGTCTACTATATGTCGGGGGAGGGGGGGGTTTGAGCAGCTACGGGAGTGGGATAAAGATAACCCAGCTCATAACTCATTTTAAAATGCACTGTTAAATTTGTCTGTAATTTATGTCATTTATTCTTAGCTTTAAATTAAAATTGATCTCTTTATTTAATCTGTTTTAGCACATCAGCTTCAGGTGCATCGCCAGGTCAGACACCAACAGTTGCAGATGTTGTAAGTAAATTCTGACAGTTGCTGTTTACATTTACAAATGTGACTTATTATTTTCTGCCAAGATAATTCTAGAATTTTAACTTAGTATGTTAACTTTCTTGGGCCATATCTTGATAGTACAGAAAGCTACCAAATAAATTTGACTGTGGATATTGTATTGTGCCAGTGATGCTGTTCTTCTTCTTTGTTCACCAGCTGTAAGCTCATCCATTTAGACTTTGGCTTTGTACCAGGAGTTTTTTTTACGTGTATATCTGTTTTACAGTGAAAATGATTGGTGTCAGAAAAAAAGTGGCAAGTTGTTTGTAATTATCATCATGTAGCAGGTCCTTTGCAGAACGTTGCTCTCATCACAGTCTGCCTGAAAGAAACTCGGTCTCTTGCCAGTTCTCATGTACTTTCATACACAAGAAGTCACTTATATCCTGTGCCTATCTTCGTGCCGGTCAACCCCTGCCCCTCCTTCCTTGTACCATGCCTTCTGCTATAGTTTTTTCCAATCCGTTGTGGCGCTTGATATGACCACAATATTTTATCTTCCGAGAAGGGATGCTGTTTATTAGCCAATCTTCCATGATGTTCAGATCTTTTAAGATATCAGTATTTCTCCTCACGGACACTGTCCGAGATATTCTGAGAATCTTTGTATAGCATTTCAGCTCAAAAGCCCCTATTCTCTTTCTTAAGGACTCACATCCGTATGTAGCCACAGGGAAGATGCATGTTCTCAAAATTTGTTTGCACATTTGCTAAATTTCAAAATAATGTGTCCGTCCAACTTGTCAAGAATATGAAAGTCTAAAGAAGACCCCAAATTATCCTAATGTCTGAGAGCATAGTAGAGGTCTGAAAGAGACTGTATGATACATTTGTATTGCAGATAAAGCAAATAATATTGTTTTTATTATATATTAACAGCGTCATCAGTTAACTTTCATTTGATTAATGCTTCTGTCATTTTCCTCATATTATGATCACCAGAAGAAAATGTCACTTTCTATACTGTCCATTTTTTCTTGTTTTAGGTTATAGTTAAAAATGTGGTGTGTGTACATATTCATATATGTGGGATCTCAGTTATAAAACATGTTCTTTCTCAGGATGTGCCATCAATATATGACAACAAACCAGCTCCTAAAGGACGCAGAGCACTCAAACGAGAAAGAAAGGTAAGGGAACTCAAAACTCACTGCTGACCTTAACTTGCATGTTTTTCCTAAAGGTCCAGCTATTTTTTATCATTTGTGAGAAACAGTAAAAAACTGACATTGTAATTTTGAGGTTATCCCGGACACCATATGACAATTTCTTTCATTTTTTTTTGTTTTTTAATTTATTAATTTATTTTATGCACAAGAATTGTGTGTATCGTGTCAACAGCAACACCCACACTGAGATGTTTATATCACAAATGACATTACTGGCCCCCTTGTATGGGGCTAAATAGAACTCCTGAGAAACAAATATCTTCACGTGAGCCTCAATGGGACCAACTCTTAGATGTGCTTCAGCTCTTTGACATAGACTGTAAGATCCAGTCCCATTGGGATAGGCCATGATGAACTAACAGTCAGGATAAATGCCTTGTGAAGAAACATGTTCTTAGCTTTGTATCTCTTACTAGCTTAGGATTGTTATCTTCAGAGTTTAATTTCTTTTGTCCAATATTTTATCTGGGGGAGCTGGCGGAGGTCAGATTTATTTCAAAACCTTGAGTGGGTACCAGGTACAGTCTTGGGAAGTAAAGGTGGCTGGCGTGATGCTGACCACATCACTCAACAAATGCCGTTTGGTCTATAAAATATAAGTCTAGCCCTATATACCCACTACGCTTGAAAGGTGTGGAAAATGGTCATTTACTTTTTTTTAATTATTTTGTTTTCTTTATTTAACCGTTTTCCATGTTTCCATAAATTTTGCAGTGACACTCATTATATTTCTGCAACAATTATAATTTTGACTATTGATTAGGCTGAGAAAGACAAGACACTGGGCAAGAAATGGTTTGGTATGAAAGCACCAGATGTTGACGAGAAGCTTAAAAACGACATGGAGCTGATCCAGATGAGGTCTGTTCTTGACCCCAAGCGATTTTACAAACATCGGGACAGAAAGGGATTACCCAAATACTTTCAGGTAATGATACTGTGTATATCACAGAACTGTATCATTGTTGTTTATAGAGCTGAGCATGAGTTGGTTGAGAATCTGTGCTCCAGTGGAAAAGGAAAAGCAGCTCTTTCTGAATGTAACTAAACTTCTTTATGAACTGCTGTCTTCAAGTCCTCACAATAACTCACACGGCTTGTTACTTGGTTATCTTCTATAGCAGCATGTTTGGTGAAGTCGTAAATATAAATTTTAATAGATTGTACATTTGCTAAATTTCAAAATAATGTGTCCATCCAACTTGTGAAGAATATGAAAGTCTAAAGACCCTAAATTTTCTTTATGTCTGAGAGCAAAGAGGTCTGAATGAGACAGTACGATACATTTATATCGCAGGTAAATTGTTTTTACAATATCCTAGTTACACCATCATCGGTTAACTTTCATTTGATTAACGATTTTTTCCTTCTTATATTACGATCACCAGCAGAAAATGTTACTTTGTATACTGTTCATCTGTTCTGGTCACCTTTTGGTCATATGGTTTTGCCCCAGTAATATTGCAGCTTTTGCTTGTAAACAACCAATGGCAGTTTGTGGATTCTTGTTGAGATTCTTCTTCTGCATTATCTAAACATGTAAATTTGTTGTGCCTGTTTACAGCATGGCTGCAATATTTTTGCCTTTCGACCAACACTTCTGACTTCTGCAGGCATTTGTTGATAGGGTTAGCCTTTCCAGCTACTAGCTAGTGAGATAATGTTTGATTTCTTTATAAATTGTTATAAATCTTTCCAGGCAGTTGTTATACTGTGCTTGGGGGGGGGCATGGGAATCATAGCAATGACAGGTGTGGCTAGCAAGCGACTTTCTTGATATATTTGTGTTTATTATGTGTTTTCTTTCATACAGGGTTGATTTACTGAGATCTTTGGGGAAGCTGATGGCATTTTCATTGAACTGCACATTGTTAAGGACATGAACGTTGCATGTTGATACATTTCTGTGATTATGTGTTAATGAATGTCTGAGTGATTATATGTTTATTATGTCTAAGTGATTATATGTTAATTGATGTCTGAGTGATTATATGTTAATCGGTTCTGTGTGCTTCAACAGATGGGCACTGTGGTGGATGAGGGCACAGATTTCTACAGCAGTCGTCTGACTAAGAAACAGAGAAAGCAGACTCTTGTGGAGGAACTTATGGCCGACGCAAACATTAGGCAGTAAGTTATTCGGCAGAACTGTACTTTTGTGTTCTTATTCATAGTTTGTTGTACTCAGCAATTACATGGTGAACCACAGAGTGGACAGAATAACTTGGCAGTGGATGTTGAAACATATTTCAAGTTATATTTGAAGCTGCAGCTTCACAACTTGTTCAGGCAATAAGTACGAAGTTTATTCAAACAAGTGCACACCAACTAAATTTATTCAAAGAAATGTATCTTCTTCTTCTTCACTTCCTCTTTTACCACTGTGGGTGTCGAAGGAGATATAGGGTTCTGTTTCTAGCTCTTCTGGCCGCCTCGACCATAGGCACATCGTGCTGTTGTAGAGTTTTTCTGATGTTATCCTTCCATCTTGTTCTTGGTCTATCTTGTGCTCTACGTCCTTCTTCTCTTTCCATGTTTGCTTTGTATGGTATGGTGTCACAAGGCATTCTCTCTAAGTGAGCAAACCATTTCACTTGCTGTCTTTGTATGTAATCCAGAATTGGTTCTGTGTCGACTTTTTCTCTTATGATCTCATTCCTGATCTTATCTCTTATGGTCACTCCTACAGCCCTTCTCAGACATCTCATTTCCATGGGAACTAATTTTCTTTTATGGTTTGTTTTGAGTGACTATGTCTGGCACTGGTAGCACAGAGTTGGAATAAATATGCTTTGAATAAGATGTCTCTTTGTGCTGATTGAGATTGTCTTATGCTGTAAGAGGGAAGCTAGCTGTCCCAATACTTGGTTTGCTTTACTGCATCTAATGTTAATTTCTTTATCCAATTTCCCATCGTCGGTAAATGTAGTTTCCAGATATTTAAACTCAGATGCCTGTTTAATGCCTTTGCACTCTATTGCTATGTTTAGATCTGTCTTCTTTTTTCCTATTGCCATTACTTCTGTCTTTTCAGTGTTGATTCTCATATTATTTGTTTTACATTCTTCATTCATGGATGTTAGATGTTGTTGCAATTTCATGGCTGTATCTGCTATCAAGGCCTGGTCATCTGCAAAGAGTAATTCTTTGATCTTACTAAGATCTTCATTCATGGGCTTGGCATTCTTGCATATACTGTCGATGTAGGTGATAAACAGCATTGGTGATAAGACACACCCCTGTCTTACTCCAGATGTCACTGTGAAAGGATGAGATGTTCCCTGATTTATTCTAACTACACTTCTACAATCCCTGTTGAAACTTTTGCACACTTCGATGAGGTGTTCGCTTACTCCAAATCTTGCCATTACTTTCCATAATAATTGTCTGTCGAGTCTGTCAAATGCGTTCTCCTGGTCTACGAATGCCACAAATAAGTTCTTATTGTATTCAATGTTCTTTTCTATTAACTGTTTAAGTGTGAAGATTGCATCTGTGCAGCTTCTATTTCTCCTAAATCCCACCTGTTCTTCTGCCAGCTATGGTTCTATCACTGGTCTCAGTCTTGTTTCTATTATCTTGGCATACATTTTGCTAACATGGCTTAAAAGAGATGTCTCGATATTGACCGCATTCTAGTTTGCTTCTTTGTTCTTCCACAATGGTATATCTATTGCATGTTGCCAATCAATAGGGGCAGTTTGTTGTACCCATGCTGCATTAAATATTCTGTGAAGCCATCTGATGCTGTTTGAATTTTTTTCTGTTGGTAATCTATCAGCTCCTGGTGCTTTATATTTGGGAGACTGCTTAATGACTTTTTCTATTTCATCCATTAGTATGTGTGGTTCTAACACTGTTGCTCTGTGCTCTTCAGTTGTTCTTTCCTGATGATCTCCTAGAGGATTAAAGAGCTCATTGAAGTACTCCCTCCATCTTTCTGGTATCTCGGGTGGATCTATCAATGGCCTTCCTGTCTTATCATTAATTATGTATACATTTACTAAATTTATTCAAACTGGTGCTCATGGATTTGCAGTTTGTTCAGACAAGTGGCTATTTCAGTCAGATTTGGCTGTTTAGTAAGCATGTGTATGTCACATCATAAAGTGCAAGAGCCATCAACTGTTGTCATAGTGGTTTACACACATAATTATTATGTGTACATCCTGCAACATCTTCTAAAGTGAGTGCAGGTATATCATTTCTTAATGACCTTTTCCATCAACAGTACAGCTACATTTATGGTCCCTTTTGATGGGAAGCTGCAAGATGTTCACTGTAAATTAAACTAGTGCTTAAACTAATCCCAGGAGGAATAGAAGGGGGTAGTGAAGCCAGGCAGCACAAGACTAGTAAGTCAGTGCTCCTTCATTGTCTATTTGGAAACAGCAGGATGACATAGAGATCATGAGCTGTGGGATGCCGGAATGAAAAAATAACAAATATACAATGACAGTCACATAATCAGATTCCTTCAGTTTGAAATGAATCTCGTCATTGGCTGCCAAAGAGCACTGATGGGGATGTCACGAGATTTGAGATGTCGGTTCTTTAGTCAACGTGTTGCAAGCAGCAGGTCCGGTTACAGGTTTTTGATTCATGCTTGCAAGCAAGATTATTACCATTTGGTATCACTTTTGGCAGTAATGCATCTGACTGCATACTAGAACAGTGTTAGCATGCTCATAGATGTGGGCCAGTTAGAATTTCTGCATTCCAGAATCGACCATGCCTAGTGGCTAGCGGCTAGCACACTTGTTTGTCAGTTTGGTGGTAATGTATGTACTTTAAGAAGAGTGTTTGGTTCACCAAGTCTAAAATATGTATTGAGAAACTTCCTGGAAAGTAAAGGTGGCCAGTCACCTCTTCCAGCAAGTGGCAGTTTCTAAAATTTATTGTAGATGGTATGTTTATAGACAGTCTCTCCTTCCCCCCCCCCCCCCCCCTTTACTTTGATGTTTCTAACCATATACATATTTTTTCTCAAGGTACAACAAAAAGAAATATGCTGAACTACAACAGAAAATGAGAGGCAAGAAGACATTCAAGAGCAAACTTAAAAAGCATTAGATAAGAATCTGCTAGGTGGATTGTACAAGTGGTTTATGCACACTGACCATTACACACCAAGAGTATGCTGATGGATCAGTTTACAGTATTTACCGGAGTTGTAATAAATATGTACTAAACTTGATTGGTTTGTTTTCTTCATTCTAATGAACACATTTGTGTTAGTGGTACTGGTGTTTGTGCACACAGCCAGTCCATTAAAAGAGTTATTACTATCTTGGTCTTACTTATTGCCTTCCTCTTGTGTGTGTATAGCCACACACACACACTAATTGGTACCATTATTTAGGTATTTAAAGAGCTTTGTCTGCAAGACTAAATATTACAGATAGCACTAACACAAACACTCACATTTATAATACATTTTTGTGAAATGAAATCCATCAGTTTAACCATCTGGGACCATGTTATCAATATTGCTGTTAGAACTTTTGGAACATGCTTAATATGTCACATGCATAAGAAATAGAAGATGATGCTATAACTAAAGTCTTGAATGAGAGCCCCCCCCCCCCCCCCCCCCCCTAAAAAAAACATGCATCCAAACAAGATGACAGGAAAAGACTGCAGCTCTCAACATGGAGAAAGACGGGGGAAAAGCTATGTCACTTAGTAAAGAGTCTCAATGAGGAGAATAATACCAGCCGTGCCCACACTGTCATTGAAGATGGTGGGAAAACTTTCATTGGTAAACAAGCAGCAAACCTGATGGCTGATAGTTTTGCAGAGGAAAGCAAAATCTTCATGTCTAGTCTAGGAGAGAAGTGAGGAAAATGAACAAAAAGCAAGAAGATAACCAAGATATAATGAATAAACTCTTCAGTCCCCAAGAACTTGAATGCACGTTAAAAAACCTTAAGAAGAGGAAGGCACCTGGGCTGATCGAGTAACAAATCAAATGATAGTACACTTGGGACCAGCTGGTAGCAATGATTCTTAGACAGTGCAAATTAATCCTGGACCTAGGAACCACTTCCTGAAGATTGGGAGGAGGCAGAAATAGTCCGCATAGCCAAGGAAGGGGAGACAATTTAGTTACCGCCTCCTAAGCTGCCTGTGAACAACAGGTTAATTTCCTGGAAGAAAAGATATTGGATACAGAAGCACTGATGACCAAACCTCTTATCTCACACAGAAAATTGGGCTCTCCTTGCACTTTTGGACGCAAGCTGGTCGGCTTAGTGGGAGTTCTCTCCCTTGGCCGCATTGACAAGCGGAAAAAGTCACGAATCAAACAAGACAGTGAGATCGACACCAGGGCTGCCAATGCTTGGTTGTGTCCCCCCAGATCTGGGTTTTTCTTTTGACGCTGTGGGGAAATCTGGGTCTTGTGTTTTGCTGATCTGTATGCTTTAATGACCGATAAATTTGCGTGGTTAGGGTTAGCGGTAGGATTAAGGTTAGGGGTAGCTTTAGGTTTAGCGCTAGATGTGACAATTTTGACGCCGTAGTTCCCTATAATCGCGCACAGTCACATACACACCCAAACAGTCGACGGACGGTGGATGCTACTGACACGGACAATTTGCCACCGATTGGGCACCAGCTGCGCGCTATTGCCGTCATATTTGGCACACTTCCAGTGGTGCCACTCCCACAAACATCAGATTTTCGCCCAGTATTTGGATGTTCTACGTCACCATTTTCACATCTGACCCTAACCCTAACCACTAACCCTATCCCTAACCCCAAACCACACCCTACGCAACCGTATGATGGTGATAGACACCCTACGCAGCCCTACAGGCAACCGTATGATGATAGGTAACCCTAGACGCAACCGTATGATGACTACGCAACCCTACACGCACCCGGATGATGATAGGTAAGTACATTTGATTCGTGACTTTTTCTGCTCGTTGTTGTCAATGCGGCCAAGGGAGAGAACTCCCACTAAGCCGTCCAGCTTGCGTCCAAAGGTGCAAGGAGAGCCAAAAATTGAATATGCTTTACATAAAAAATACAAACTGAAAGCTTTCTTCAAACTGACCAAAACCTTTGATAAGGTCTGGAAGAAAGGACTTGCTAAAACTAGCACACAGTGGGATAAAAGGGCATATGTTTGCCTGATACAGAAGCTGCGCAAGAGTCAGAATAGCAAGATGGTCAGGTTAGAAGATGGTGTCCCCCAGGGAGGTGTTGTATCTCTTACCCTGTATATTCTTTTCATCAATGACCTCTCAAAATCAGTTCACGACCAACATTCACAAGGCTCTACATGCAAACGACCTGGCCTTACGGACCCAAGCTGAACATATAGGAAATACTAAAACAAAAAGGCAGGGAGCTAAAATTACAGTTAAGAAATGGGCAGACTCTTGGGGAGTCACAATAAACCAGATCAAAACCATCTCGACTCTTCTCTCTTTCCACAAAGCCAGAAAAAGTTGAACTGTACCTAGAAGGCACCATCATTCAAAAAGAGGAAAACCACACATATCTGGGAGTAAAATTCTACAAAAGGCCAACCTGGGGCACCCACTTTGAAGACACCTAAAGGAAAGCTACCCTGAGGCTCAGACTTATGAAGAAAACTTACTGGAACAAGCTGGGGTGTAGATGCCAACACTGTACAACAAGTATTCATAGGATACGTACGACCAAAACTGGAGTATGGCATGGGAGTATACTCCACTGCAGCCAAATCAAACCTACACAAACTGGACAAAATAAAAAACACTTCTCTCAGAATCATCACTTGAGGTATGAGAAGCACATCAATTAATAGCTGAAGGTAACTTGTGTCTCTAGTGCTTGAGCCTTCAGGAAGAAAAGGTGCTTACTCTAACAGAAAAATTTAAACACATGAACAACCCCATGCATAAAATAGCAAACAACATAACGAAAATAACAAAGCTTTCACCATCTATCAAAAATGTACTATGCAAAAAAAAAAGGTGAAATTCTTTCTAAAGATCCTTCAACGTGAATAATGATCCAGGCATACAGAATAGACCTACAGCCTTACCATACAGTCACAATAACATTGCAGGCATAGACAGAAATGCTAAAGAATGCCACCTAGTACTGCATACCCAAAACCCAAATGGACACATGTATACATCGATGGATAAATGGAGGAGCTGGACTGGTCATCAAGCTGCAAGATGCGACCACAGTAGAAACATCATGCGTCTCCAGAAAACTCAACTTCAGAGCAGCAAGCAATTATTGATTCGGCCAAAATGCTTCAGGAAACAAAAAATTAAAAACGGTAAAATTGTTTGCCTTTGTGACTGCAAGTCAGTCCTCCAGACCACTCAGAGGTATCTATGAGACAACGCGGATAGAGAACTGACCTGCCAGATAAACAAACTCACAAAACAATCACATCGTTCTTCTATGGATCCTGGCTAATTGTGGCATACCAGGAAATGAGTTAGCAGACAGATTTGCAAAAAAATTTAACTAAGGAGAAACAACACACCCATTCATTGTGATTACCAGAAATCATAATACTTATCAAGGAATTGTGGAGAGAAGAAACTAACATTAAACCCTATCAGCAGACTCAACAGAAAGCAACATACAACAATTTTCTGTCTACAAACAGGACACTGCAGGCTCAACTTCTTCTGCCTTTCTATCCCCCAATGGAGCATAGGCCCTCAACCAACTCACGCCAAGTCGTTCTATCCTTCGCCATTGCATGGAGCTCTCCCCATCTTTAACTTCATTCTCCAGTTCTCTTCTCCACGTGTTTTTTGGCCTTCCTTTATTCCTATGCCCCTGTGGGTTCCAATGCAAAGACATTCTAGTTATGCTGTTCTCCTCTTTTCCTCACCTCTTGATCCACTGGAGCCTGTTTAGTTCTCTCCCAAAGTTCTACATTAGTTATTCTATCATACCATTTTATTCCCTCTATTCTGCGCAGGCACCAGTTAATGAATGTCTGTAATTTATTATTAATTGTCTTAGTTGTTCTCCATGGTTCCGCCCCATACAATAAAACTGATTTAACATTAGAATTAAAAATTTTAAGTTTAGTATTTCTTTTAATTTCTTTTGACCTCCACAAATTCCCTAGTGCTATGAAAGCCCCTCTTGCCTTTTGTATTCTTATTATAATATCTTTATCAGTTCCTCCATCTTTATCTACATTACTGCCCAAATAGGTGTACGACTCCATGTCTTTGAGTGGGGTGCCATTAAGAGAAACCAAACTACTATTTGCCTGATTTATTCTCATTATCTTTGTCTTTCCTTTATGGATTTTCAGACCAAGCTGCTGTGATCTCGCATCAAGTATATTTAATTTATCTTGCATCTGATTCTGTGAATGGGACAGAAGAGCAATATTATCAGTGAAGTCCAGATCATCAAGCTGTTTTGTAGGGGTCCACTGAATTCCATTCTTGGTGTTAGCACTTACTCTTTACATAATCCAGTCTATAGCCAGTAAAAATAAGAGAGGCGACAAAATACATCCTTGTCGCACACCTGTTTTTATTTCAAATGCATCTGTTAGCTTTCCCTCATGAAGAACTCGACATTTCATGTCTTTATATATTGCCTTTACTAAGCTGATAATTTCTGTGGGATTCCATAGTCATTCATTCATTCATTCAGTAGCATGTCCCTCGCGGAACCTCGCTGCCATAACAACCCTCCGGAAAACCTTCCTATCATGAGCAAGATGTCCTGCAAGATTCCATAGTGCCCCATCAATTTCCAGAGAGAATCCCTATCAATGCTGTCAAATGCTTTTTCATAGTCTATAAATCCAATGTAAAGTGGTGAATGCTTTGCTCTATTATAATACGTAATGTGGCTATCTGGTCAGTACAGGATCTGTTTGACCGAAAACCTTCCTGCTCATCTCTTAGCTTTTTATCAATAGTATCTTTTAATCTTTCCAAAATAATTCTACTTAATATTTCTCCAGGAACTGACAGCAACATAATTCCTCCAAAGTTTTCACACTCCTGTAGATCACCTTTTTTGGGCAGTTTCACAAGATATCCTTCTCTCCAGTCTTCTGATATTTCTTCGGTCTCCCAGACTTTACTAAATAATCTATGTAGCAATTCTGTTGATGTGTTTATGTTGGCCCTGATGGCTTCAGCTGGGATACCATCTGGGCCTGCCGCCTTTCCTTCCTTGAGAAGATTGATAGCTTTTCTAATTATCTCTTTGGATGGTATCTCACAGTTGATATCCAGCAGGCTCAACTACCACATGCATAAAATAAAGACTATAGTCCCCACAGTGTGCTTATCAAACAGGACCACAAACACCTGAGCACATTCTGCAGACCTGCCCACTCTGCCTGCAACTTCAAAAAGACACCTGGCCTCAAGAGCAAAGTGTGCAGAGCAAGCTATGGGGAACCATGTAGGAGCTGCTACTGACATGCGAGTTCATAGAGGCAACCCACCTGATGGTCTGATCTGAGCATACGAAACCGAACGAATGCAAAGAAGAAGAATGAGAGCAAGAAGATGCTGGAATGACATTAAACACAAATAACACAAATACAACTGTTGAAAGTTCACAGACATTGGTTTGTTTATTCTGTTGAACAAATAATAATGTAATTATCTTTTTGTGGGGTTTTTTTCTGCATTAAAACTGCAGTCAACCATAGATGATGGTTACATCCTCCAAGCAAACAGCATCAGCTACAAGAACATGTTATCTATCATATGTTTGTGGTACCAAACAAAATGTTTAGTTTAAAGAATGTTTGCTAAAATCTGATGACTGTTTAAACAGCAAGAGAGGCAACTTCATTACATCAGGTGTTATCATCGCATATAGTTCAAATCTTTTGCAGCAGAGTGGTTGTTGGTCTGCCAAGAAAATCACACAAAGTATGAAACACTGTAGCTCTAGTGACAACCCCCCCCCAGGTCTAGCCCAGTGTGCCCAATATACCTATAGGCGTGGGAAAAGGTCCTTTACTCTTGTTCTTTTAATACCATCACTTGAAAACATCTGAAATATTCTGGTAAAAATGAACTCTGAAAAGTCTGTCCATGCTCCCAGAAACAAATTCTGGTATACAGATAGTAAGCCTGCTGTGATGGTCTTTGTCAACTGTACGTAAAATGCTGTTCTAGCCTAAAGCAGTTCAATGTAGACTACCCAATTAATAAACTATGTAAGTGCAAAGTATTTTTAGATATACACAACAAACCTCACCCTAGACAATCACAGGCACAACAAATCAAAAATTAGTTTAAAAAATATTACATCCAATTTAGTCCCAATAAAATTATTCCTTTAAACGGTGAATGATCAACAAAATACAATATACACTTATTTTTATTCGACTAGCACACATGCACAAAATATTTATGTAGACACCTACCTGTCAGCAGCATTTTAGCTTTCCATTTACTGGTTATAAAACAACAATAGAGAAAAAACACGATTGGTGGATATTTTGTCCAAATCTGGAAATGTTTTTACAAGTGAAACTTTTGGAAATTATAGACTAGTTCACAAAGTAATCAGCACTATTGTAAATTCATTATCAATCATATGTATGAAATGTACCTGCTCATATGTTATTTACTTTTACAGATTTCAAATTATTAAGCAATCTTAATAAATCTAAAGTAAGAATATTTCGTAACATTCTTAATTAGATATATTCTTAAATGACAGACCAGATGATGACAGCATACATGTGCTGGATACAATGCACTTTCCAGACTCACAACTGTGATGTAAACTCAGAGCAAACCTTCACTAAACAGGTCTCACTAACTGCCATATGTGGAGCTGGAGCATCTAAGCAAACCTCTGAGCATATCTTGGGTGCCCAGATTTTGGTAAAAGTATTTTACACAACAGAAAAGTATTAGTTCTGCACCTGGTGACATGTGAAAAGAAGCACTTATTGATCAATTGCTGTCAGCAGTCACTCAAGAGATGTGTGAACAGCAGCTAAAAATGATCAACTGTTGAAGTCAGTCATTCAAACAGTGCTAGTGAGAACAAATTTTAATGAGGGACTAAGCCATACAGGATCAAATCTGGCTCAATGAAATCAATCCTCCAACCCTTAAATGCCCCCATCCCAAAATCATGGGAAACTCCTAGGTACCCCAAAACCTGTCAGGTCAAGAGAAGGCACATTTACAGAAAAGGTGATGCTGACTGTTTTAGGGACACTGAAGGTGTCCAACTGGAAATATGGTTAATGGACTTGTCTCCTTACCAAACTAATCAAAGACAGACCAGAAAACAGAGAATTATAAACTCTTAATCTTTCCTGTTTCTAAATCTTTAAAAGAAAAAACATAGCTTCAAGAGAAATAAGTTATAGTGACAAAGAAAGTCAGACTGACAGGTGACAAGTGATTTGGTTTGAAATCTATGGTGTGCTGTTACTATGGATTGGTTAAGGTCAAGGAAAGATAGCATATGTATATCAATTCAAGTGCAACAAGCTATGCTGGAAAGGAATTAACATTCTACAGTATATCCATTCTCTATGAAACACCCCTCATAATTAAGGTTAATACTGTTGGCCAACACCTTGTACAACAGTATCCTCAATCATACTATAAAATCCATGCACTGCATTAGGATTCTCCTTATGTGGGAGAAGCAGCACTTGAGGAGTTTCAGTTAACCATGAATTTTGTCCTGAACAGAGACCAAACTGATATACTGTCATAACTTTTAGATTTCAGATTATCGTCTATTTTTGTCTGTAACAGTCTAGACATGTTCTGTCTAAAAATGTGGGTGGGAAAAAAAATCATTTCTTGTAATAAATTTCATAACACACATTACCAAATACTGTCGGCCAATATTCTCTATAGTAGTAATGTTGTCATTACTAAATTCTTTATAAAGCATAACACACAAACTGTCACAGTGACACACTAGCACCTTCACCAGAGACATCAATATTAAAAAGCCTAAATATACAGCCATTTCATCCAATTGGTAAAAGCTCAAGCACAGATGACATTCTAGCAACATTACAACAGGAATGGCCTCAAAATGCCAAAACCAGAAAATTAAAACATCACCAATAGCAAGTACATGCACCTCCCCAGTGTTGCTCTGTACTGGATTAATTGTCATTTGAAGATGTCTCTCACTTGCAAGAGGTAGCCAATGATACAAGTGAGAGGCCAACAGCAGTCTGAGAGAGTGTACAACCAGGAAAGAGATACTGTGTGTTGGAGATCCACTGCAGCGAACCTTCACTGTGGAGATGGCACCTGATTGATTGATTGCACTTTCACTATTCTGTGCTGTCAGTTCAGTCTGTCTCAAATCACAGAGGGCCTCTGTGGCAAGCACATATTATAATGAGCTGTCTGGTTCCAGAAGTTCACATCCTTCCAACCGCACCATCCCTGAGATGGACAAAAGACAAGCATGAGGTATCAACCAGGAAGAGATAGTCACAATGCTACAGATATCACAATATATATTTGGCAAAATAGCAATGCAGTAGAAACTGGGTTTACACTGCCAATAATTATTTGACAAACCTCAACACTTTATACTAGAAATCACCTTAAAGTAAGAATGTAAAACATACAGACAAAACTAATAAAACAGAAAAACATTATATTTTTTACATCATCTGAGACAAGACTAAATCTTTACCTACTGTCTGTTTTTTCTTCATTAGTTGCTATCTGAAGATTTAATACCTAAGCCATGAGCTACATACTGGATTTTATTAATTCAACAGAATAAGTCTGGATACCTCATTCAACAATGTTTAGAAGTTACAAGAAACTGTTTACAAGTCAAGACAGAGTAGACCAATATGTGGCATTTCTCTCTCTCTCTCTCTCTCTCTCTTTCTCTCTCTCTCTCTCTCTCTCTCTCTCTCTCTCTCTCTCTCTCTCTCTCTCTCTCTCTCTCTCTCTCACAATTCTCTTTCTCTCTCTCTCTCTAACACAATTTTCTCTCTCTCACACACACACAATTCTCTTTCTCTCTCTCTCTCACACACAATTCTCTTTCTCTCTCTCAACTCTCTCTCTCACACACACACAATTCTCTTTCTCTCTCTCAACTCTCTCTCTCTCTCCCTCTAACTCATGTTTCTTCTAATGTCGCCATGGTCGCTTGATCTCTTCTGAGCTTTGTGCCAGGGCTTGAGTTTTGCGTGTACATTCATTTTCCTGGCTTAGATGTGTGCAACTGGTTGTTCCTTGCTACTCGGGTAGATGCACTTCGACTTCAAAGAAAGTCTCCAATTAGCTGACACCTATGACCTGCATCTGCCAATCATCACCATGTGTGCAGTCAGGTGGCATAGGCACTTATGTCTCTCACCCCATCTCTGTCCTTGACGTTCTGAACCAATTCCACTAATGATATTTCTCTGTGCCATCACTACAGGCCTCCAAGCATCTCTCGCTTGGTCTGCCTCTGCATCTTCTATTTTTGATCTTAAAGGTATCTTCCATCAAATGGTTATATCTCAGATCAGAATCAGATAAAAAATATCTCCTGCATGAAGCTCTGGAACCAGCCAAGGGTTATAAACTGAAAAGAGGAATGTTTTGGATGGTACAAGCAGATATCATAATTTACTGTGTGTGCAGGTTTGAATCATAACAAAAGCAAATGGACAACCCTTTGTGCAACAAAGCCTGGCATACCCACATGTCATGATTGTAACAAACTCAAAAAAGGTGATGAGAAAGACAAAGACAGGCATGCTCCAGCAGAAATGGCAAGCATTGATTTGGAGGTCACTCGCAGTAGTGCCCTGTGGATATTTTCTCCAGGCCATGCAGATATGTTGGGAAACGAAAAGGCAGACAAATGGCTGGTCTTGCATCTTTTGGTAGTAAACCAAATGATACATGAGAATTTGAGGTCAAGGCCCATTGGGAATGAGTCAACAGTGCAGAAACATGAACAGATCATCACAGTCTGGAGAAAATGCTGCAACCGGAAGTGGCCAGGAGGATGTGGCCAACAGCCCTTAGAGGAAAGACAACAGATTAAGACTGCTGTTGGTGCCACTGGAACTTACACTGTCTACTGAATATGGGGATAGGGTACTTATGGGAATGTTTTAAGTGCTGTAAAGTCAGTTCTAAGCATAACTCAACTCATCATGGGATCATCTGTTATCTGACCCTACCTAAGAAGGCTATATATCTAATCTGACTACCCTCTATAGGAAGGAAATGTGAGACAATTACAAAGCAGCAGTTCTTGCAAATATTCCCAAAACCTACACCAAGAGTGAACCTAATCACATCTCAGCTTTAGGTAGATATCAAAACCTCTCAGCCACATATCTCCCAAGGAATTCATCCATTAGCTTTAGATATTGAGACACATGGGTGCAAACATATACAGCATTCAGGAAAGCAAAGAAACACATGCACCACCTGGCAGTCCATTATCATAAACTTAATCATCTTCTTCTTCTTCTCTTCCACCTTGTACCTCATTGAAGTGTAATGTTCGTTGATGAGCTCTGTCAAGAGCACTATTAAGACTGATGTTAATTTCTGTAAAGCTGTTCTTAATGCCATCACTCCATCTTTTCCGAGGTTTTCCACTCGCTCTATACCCGTTGTAACGTTTTAGTGTGGCTCGCTGTGGCGGATAGTACCAGGGCATTCTTGTTAGGTGTCCAAACCACTTCATTTGTTGTTCTTTGATGACCTGTAAGACTGGCTTTATTCCTAGCATTCGTCTGATCTGCAGCACTTCTAAGGCATTTCATCTCTGTTGTCACAATTTTACATTCACTGGAGGATGTAAGTGTCCACATTTGGCATTGATAGCATAGTGTTGGCCAAAAAATAGTTCTGATAAGATTCACTTTAGTACTCCGAGGTATCTGTTTGTGTGTCAACAGGGAAGATAGTTGACCCATTACTTGATTAGCTTTGGCACATCTGGAGCCAATTTCTCTGTCCAGTTTTCCGTCTGATGTAAAAATTGCTCCCAAATACTTAAATTCCTGTTTGTCTCAGAGTGTTGTTTTTCAATTTAATTTCTAAATTGTCTTTATGTCTTCCTATTATCATTGTCTCTGTCTTCGTAGTCTTTATTTTCAAATTATATTCCTCCCCTTTGTTACTAATTTGATTTAGGTGGTTCTGTAGGCATTCCGTATTTTCTGCTATGAGTACCTGGTCGTCGGCGAAAAGTAATTCTGTAATATCTTCTTCATGATTAAAGTTCGTTTCGCTACATATGGTATCCATGTATGTTATAAAAAGAAGCGGCTATAGTACACAGCCCTGACGCACACTAGAGTTCACTATAAAAATTCTTGACAGCCCTGCCTTCGATCTTATGCAGCATTTACTACGTGTGTACAGGCTTCTGCAAATATTAATGAGATGATTGCTGATTCCTTTTTTTCCCATACATTCCTACAACATATTCCTGTCGACTCTATCGAAGGCTTTTTCTTGGTCTATGAATGTCAACAAACATGTCTTATCATGTTCTATTGCCTTCTCTGATAGTTGTCTCAATGTATAAATGGCATCTGTGCAACTTCTGTTTCATCGAAAGCCCATCTGTGCTTCTGAAAGTTGATACTCTATCAATGGTCTCAGCCTTTTTTCAATGATCTTAGCATACATTTTCCCAGCATAAAGTTAATAAGCATATCAATGTGGATAAATGAGCTGTGAACAAACCTTGTCTTGTATTGTCCTTAAATCTTCTCCTCCTGTGTAGTGGGGGTCAAGGATGAGGAAGCTGATATCTCCTGTCATGTCATTGTAGGCCACACCCAAAATTGTATGAGCAAAGACACCACCACCTGGTGATTGAGTCATCACAACAAATCAAGTACAATTAATTTGGAGACACCATAAAAACATTTAATGGCTATCGTGAAATTAACTAAATGTTTGAGAAAACTGTTGAATTTTAAATGTGATAACTCAAGAAGGTGAAGAAAGCAGACAAATGTCTGGACAACTGTCAATTTAAATAGTTACATGGGGGGAGATGGCAACTGGGCACAATCTAAGGGGTAATGGACAAAGAAACATAGGAAACAAATGGATTGAGGAAATTAAGACATTCAAGAGAAACCCTATGATGAATGTTTATGAGAGAGAGTGGAGATACCCAGCTAGACTCCATACATGATAGTGAAACAAAATGTACAGACAGAATGGAAGCGAGGTATCGACTGTGAGCCCTATGTAATATATGAGAATCAGATCTATTGATGTTCTTCTTCTTTCAATCCCCCAATGGAGCATAGGCTCTTCACCAACTCAGTATTGCACGCAGCTCATCCCATGTCCTCATCTTTTTAATTTACCTCTCTAGCTCCCTTCTCAGTGTGTTTTTATTTTTGGGTCTGCATTTATTTCTATGCTCCTGTGGGTTCCAGTGCAAAGACATTCTGATATTAATTAGCAAAATGAAATGAAAAATTGGGATTGAAAGAAATGTACAAAGCGACAAGTGAAATATTTCAGTCATAACCCTCCTATAAGAACATTACTAAAGGTATAGCTGGCGAACAAATGGTAGACTGATACAAATGACAGGATACAATCAAGAGACGAAGAGCAATCTGAAAGAGTGCAACAGGTCAAGAGACTGGAGATGTACTGAAATTAATTTTCATTGTGGAGATGGTGACTGACAGATTGATTAGTAAATGTACACCAACAAACACAGCTAATCTGATGTGAGGAAATGTCATTTATGACATGAAACTTCACTATTCAGGAATTGATGATCTAATCTAATATGCCAATGTGGACCTTACAGACAGTATTCTAACATGTATGACTCCAACTGTTTTCTTTTATCATCTTTAAAGTCTGCATTAATCAATTTTCAATGGTAATATACTGCCCAAGTACCATGTTACAACAAAGGAGATAGAATGCCTTTGTTGTTTGGAGTGGCCACAAATCAGGTAATGAAAAAATTTTACAAAGGCAATACTGGCATGGATTGAGTAGAGAACAGACAATGGAAGATCTGGATTTCACAGATGATTCTGTTCTGTTAAGTAAAAATAACAAAGACGTGCAAAGGCTACTGCATTAAAAAAAGGACTAAAAATAAGTTATAAGAAAACTAATATATTAAAGATAACCAAAAATAGATCGTGCAGATGTTATGCTAGAGAACAAACCAATAAAAGTAATGGACCATCTCACCTATTTGGGCAGCAATTTTTGACTCTTAAGGAAATACAGTGGAGGAAATTGTGGGACACATTGGCAAAGCAACAATAGTCTTTAAAAGCTTTAAAAAAATATGGAGCTCTGAGTTGTACAGATTTAACACCAAACTACAAATCTTAAATTCCAATGTTATTTCAGTTCTAACATAACAGCAAAAGTTGGAGAACCACCAAAGGTCAGGAACAAAATTTAATGCATTTAAAAATAAATGTCTGTGAAAAATCATTAGCACAAAATGGGATGAATTAAAAAAGAGTGAGGAGATCATAGAAATGTCTGGATACATACCTGTATCGACTGCAGTAAGACAATGAAGGTGGAGATATGTTGGACACATTTTAAGATGAAGTGAGCAAAGAATTACAAAACAGGCACTGAAATGCAAAACAAATGGTCTGAGAACAAGAGGATGTCTAAGGGAAACAATGAGAAGAACATTATTACAAGAGGCAAAAAATGCTGGGCTGAACTCCATGTCAGAAATCGAGGCACTTGCATGCAAGTGAGTGGAGTGGAGGAATTGAATATGAGCCCTATGTGACTTCTGATAGCACATAAAGCAAAGGAAGTACCATGTTAAGTAGTGTAGGCAATTATTTGTCCATAGGATCATCTGTCTTCCATGTTTTTGACCAGTTTCATAACCAATGATTTTCTGTGTCACTTTGACAACTTTCTGTGCCTATCATTCTTCTATCCTAGCCAGTGTTACAAATGTCTCTGGTTGATTTATGATTCTTCTTACAACATGATTTTATAGTGCAGATATCTTGAGGACACATATTTATGTGAAACCACACTGATACAAGGGTTAATATGTTTAGCCGAGACTGCTAGGCAAAAATGACATCACAAAGCATCTCTGCTTGACTAGCACTGACACAGACCAGGATCACTCACCAATCATAACTGGTGTTCCCTGAGTCTGGAAGTGCTTGGACAGTTCTTGTCCCACAGTTGAAAGCTCTGAGCCTGCATTGACATTGATGAACTTGCTTGTGACCTGGAGATGGTCAAATAACAGGAGAAACATTAAAGGTTAGGTCTTCAATGAGCATGCTCTCAAAAACATATATTTTAACCACTGATATCAACAAAGATGGGTCTACTACAAGTGGCATCAAGGATGCTTCACAAAAGATACAAACAGTCATCAACCTTATTTTATAGCCTGACGACTCGCCCAAGGGTTAACCATTCAGAGTTAACCAACACCTTAGTTTTACACAGATAGTAACAGGGTTAACCAATGAGAGAGTGGTAACACAGAGAATATAATGGTGACTGTTTTAATCCCTACAAGTGACAGTGTTTATTTACTGATCAGTAAGGCATTGATGTCAGCGCAGTCTTGTAAACTGTCAAGTAATTTTCAGAATTCCTGGACATATTATTTGAAAAGAAAGAAATAATGAGGAAGGCAGATGATTCCCCCATCTCATCATGTTAGGACCTGATCTATAGAAGATTAATAGTGGACACTGTTAATATGGTTTATACTATGCTCATGGAGCTATCTTTATCTTCAAATAATAATGCAAAATTAACCTCTACCTCCCCATACCCCATTTTCTCCCTAAAAAAAGGATAAATTAAAAATGAAAATTAGATAAAATAGTATTGGCTACAAATACAACCACTTTGCAAACACAAATGAACAGTATGCTGATTTATTGTATTACAGATCTGGGCAGTAAAAAGCAGTAGTGAAAACAAAACAAAAACTATCAAAAATGAAACAAACTATCAGGCAATAAAGAAAATTTATTGTCTTGAAATAAAAGCACTTTGTTAAGAAATTCAAAAATGAGACTAAGATGATGTCTTAAACAATACATGAGAAGTAACGCCCTGTAAATGCAGAGAGCCTTCAATGAACATATAATCAACATCAGTGTGGACAGATCACGATTGCGTGACATGGGAGTTAAGCATGGTGATGCACGTCTTTGCCGTCTTCGGGGCAGAGAAAGGAGACAATATAACCAGCTTCTTATGGGGACAATTAGTAGAAGTACTTTGGAGTGGCTGCTGCTGCGGAGAACTGAGCACTCATCGGTATGCCCAATGTGCAGTGACATCAGTTGTGATAACAAAACATAAAATAACATCTTAGTAGGGAGTCGGCAGTCCGAAACCCAAGTTCAAGGTGTCTCCTTCATGCCAAAGAACTGCATGGCTGTTAGGTGAACAGTCGTTAACGATGGCAGGCAGGTCGTTGTAGGGGCGACGCCTGCTGGTGGATGTAATGTCCTAAGTCCCTTCCCCAGCTAATAATGAGGGTACTGCTGGGGTGACTGTTTATTAACCCTCATATAATGCTTCCGGTCAAAATGGACGCTAGGCACGGCCACCTTTTTTTTTTTAAGCCGTGGCAAATGTTTTTTTTTCTCTCTGTCAGATGGTGGCCATTTTTGCTCCATTTTTAGACTGGAAGGATGTAGTTTCATCGCCCAGTTTCTAAGTTGAGTGCATGGCGTGACACTGTGAGCTGCGTTTGTTTTTCGTTGGCACAGGAGCGGAGCAACTGTGGGGTGACCCGTTTGCTATGAAGCTGAAACTAGGATTACCAGATTACCAGAAGATGGGAAACAACTGTGCTTTCTACAAACAGTAAGGTCAGAAAGATGGGAACTGAAGAATTGTCTTGACTTTTTAACTGCCCAAATAGCAAACAAGTGCATGGTCTACAGGCTTGTGCCACCATGACAGAAGTGAAGCAATATTTGAACATACTCACCCCTAGTAAATGATCTAAGACATAGCTGACCTCAAACGAACCAATCCACTGACGACTTCCAACAAACTTCTGGTCTTTGTCCCCAACTTCAAACAATGCCTAAAAATGAATCATATAAAGGCATAAGAATATCATACTTATTTGCTATTTGTCATAAAACATATCAGAGACAGGGTGTTACGCCCACGTTGAACTTGGACCACTGTGCAGGTCAGGCAGTACATGTGTCAACAGAGATTAGCTTTGACAACATTTGACATGCTGATGGATACTCTGCCTTTACTTTAGAGATTCCCACATTTCTCCAGCTCAGACATATCAACTGATTATCCTCATCATCAAATGCCTTGCTAAATGGAATGCTTCTCCACAAAATGGCTGTCAAGAATCATATCTCACTGTCTTCTGCTTCTTCTATAGATCTTTTATGTTGTCACATGCTAGTTTGTCTCTTTTTATAATGTGGTTTTAAAAAAATGGTTACTTCTTTCTGATGTAAGAGGGTAGTGGTGAAAGAGGAGAAAACAAACTGGAAATATGCCAGGTAAGCACTGGCCAAAAAATGTTTTAATGTAAACACAGACAGGACAAACCAAGAAAAAAATAATGAGAACGTGTCAACATGAAACGCACGTGTGCACATATGATATGAAGTGATTCTGAATGTCTCTATGACTTGGCTGCTAGGGGGGGGAAAAAACCACAGCAGCCACCAGGAGATTATCCTTTAATAAAGGAGGAAAATTTATTCAAAGAAAAAATAAACAAATGAAAATATACTGCTAAAAAGAATTAATGGCAATTCACAGAGACGCAAAATAAACTGAATCTTCCAATCAGGTTCTCAGTTGATACCGTGGGAGACATATTTTAGGAATCTATAAATAACAAGGAGGAAATGGTCTCAGGGAGAATGAGAAAACAAGAGAGACCGTTTGGGCGGATCAGAAGTGACCAGACATGAAATCTGGTTGGAGAGTGCAGAGATAAGCAATTCCCCTGCATTACCGACATAAGGAGCATGTTGTAGGTTAATAGGAGTTTAGGTATATAACTGACTAGTAAAACAGTGATGCAGAGATGCAAAAATCAGAGAATGATATGTGAAAAGGATTTCTAGCAGTCACAGTAAGTGACAAACATGGCGCTTGGAGGACTGCGAGAAAACCGGACAGCTGTAGTGTAGCCGGGAGGTGTCTAAGCGAAACATTAATGCATTGTTATATCTGCAATATGGGGAAATTTTAAAAAACAAGGATATGCATTTAAAAATTTGTAATATGTCTACATAAATATATGGCAGGAGATTATTATGCATTCATACCGCATGCTATCACCCAGTGTTTATTAAGTATTGTGAACTCAGGATAATGTTTACCTACTATGTAATATTATTGCAGTGGTTATTTATGTAATTGTTGCTTTTATCAGGAGATCGGCATGCATGTATATTTTCATGAATTCATTTGTAAGACAAATGATTTGTTTATTAACTCTTAACTGAGCTGTGTCGCAGCTGTTCATTACATAGGAATATGTTCATGTTCTCACTGAGTGTTTATAACATGATGTTAGGAAACAATCCAAGTACTTATGCTTCAGATTTAGGTCTTATCTCCACACATATGTGTAGGAATTGAGTAAAACACAGTTTCGATACTGTAGGAGAAACCTGCTGGAAATACAAGCCTATATGTAACTGTATTTGTGCTCATTCATATTTGAGTGTTGCTTAGAATCCTTATTATTCTTATCTTTTCTAACGAAGGGCATAAGCATATATGAGGAATTGTGGCAGGCATGAGAGATCTGTTTACATACATACGTACTAGGTGAGATATCAGCAATATATGATGTATTATAATATTATATTAGCACTGTTTGTAGTATGGCGAACTGCACAATTCAATATATTTAGCCTTAATTCAGGGAAACTCTTTCTCAGGACTGTGCATGAGGGATAATTAATCTCTGTTATTGTGTTGATAATAGATATAACTTGAGATTTCAGTCTTTGAGGAGAAAAGTGGAAGGTTCTATATTGTGGTGAGGGTCTAAATAAGCTTGTTAACTCAGATATAAATATGGCACAATGATGCATTCACTGTAATCACTATGGGACAAAGAATCAATTCTATCCAGACTGTTATTTTGTTACAGGCACGATAATGTTCCCTACTGGCTGCTTGCAGTCATGGCAGTCTACAATCTGCCATAAGTTTTGTATAGTGCTGAGAAGAATTCAGTTTGTCTAATCCAAGAGAGAATAAGAAAGTGGATCCTGAAGCCACTGACAGTGTAAATTATGGCAGGTCTACAATCAGCTATAGACTGTGTAGGGTATCAAGGAGAAGTCAAACTGTCTAGTCCAAGAGAAAGGCAGAAACTGGATCCTAAACCCATGGGCTGTTGGAATGAACCTTGAAATATGCCACGTCTCTTGAGAAGTACCTTGGCTTACTCCATATCTGCTTTTGCCATGGTTCACTCTCTATGATTACTGCAACATAACTACTTGCACTGCTCTAACGTCTAGGACTGAAACACAAACGCCACTCGGCTTCCTTGTACATAATATCAGTTTATTCTGTTCCATTTATTCAACATGCTCCAACAATTATTCACACTTCCCTCACTTGCGACATATTCAAACACTGGTCATTCGCACGACATAAGAACTACATCTTTTATTAACACAACTGTCTTCTATGACTTCAGGTAACCAACTGACCACGAGGCTAGCTCGGGCGTTCCCTCGCTTACTCGACTAGACACAATTATCTCGTGCCGTCACTTGTAGCACTGACTTTCTGCTTGCCACAATGTACTCGTGGAGACCATGCAAAGCAGGGTCATCATAGCTGTTGCCTAATGACAGTCTATAATCTGATCTCAGATTGAGTGTACTAGTTACCTACAGTGATGTGAAAGGCAGAAACGGACCCTGGAACAGATCCTGAACCCATTGGCTGATTGCCTCAATACCAGTACCTTATCTAGCCTCTGCTGTTCGTGTAAATCCTCCCATCTGATTCAAGAGAAGAACAGAACTCAGAACCAGAAAATTCTGACTCAGTGTTCGAATAAGAGTAAAATTCTTGCTCATGACACTAAAATATATCTTTAATCCAGTGAGCTACTAACAAGATGCTCATTCAAAAGTCTATAATCGGAGCACTATGGATCTTCAACTGAAGAAAGTACTGATGTGTGTCAGATTAACCAGAACATTAAGATGTTATAATTATAGGAGCAAATTTGTCATGCTCTTGATCAAATGTTTTTTGTCCTGTAGGCTTGTGAACGATTGTATCCCGGCACTGCATTATATTTTTGGCCCTAGTTGTAGTTCATGACTAGCATATGTTATTGCATTTTATTGTGAAATAAATGTTGAAATGTCAACTCTATTTTTATTATTTTAACTATACATATGTATTGTGGTTACACAAGAATGCTTCTTTATCTTTACTGTGAAACACAGTTGGGGCTATTTCAGCTGTGACTGACTGACTTTTACCCCAACAGGACATCACACTGAGCGATACACATTTGCTGACACAAAGTGCCACCATTTGGATGAGGATAACCAGTAGAGAGGTCCCAGAAACACCGTTCAACCCATATGTGGGGTTAAATTAGGGCCCCTGGCAATAACCAGGGTGGGGCAACAAAATTACAAAAAATTGGTCCCACATGGGGACAGAGAACGTCAAAATCAGTTGTGGGAGGGTCTTTAACTATATATATTCCAGGTGTCCACATTTTCTATTTCAGTGGGTCCTGCCTACTATTTAGTCCCACAACAGGAAATGCTGTCCACTTATATAATAACATCCTGGGACAAAGCCCTAAGATAAAATTATTGTCGAGCCACTTCTGCACTATTGTGACATTCTGAGTTAACGGAATACATATTTGATGACAACACAAACCTGTTGTATCTCCTTATGATTAGGTATGCTTCTGTCTGTGTATCCCTGGTATTTGAACCAGGACACTATAGTCTGTAGAGACCTGTAGGCACAGCCCCATTTGTTGTCATCAAAGTGGTCTTGCATGTAGTGATGGTAGCTGTAGTAGCCATCAACCAATGAGACTGTTGCAGATTTCACTGAATAAAACATATATAACATAAAACTCACAGGAAACTGTTCAGCTCACAATCATCAATGCTCGTGTATGTGTTATGGGTGACTAATGATGCAGTTCATGTATGAAATTGAGGGATCTAAAATAAGTATGAATCTCATAAATGGAATACTTATATCTAGACAAAAAGTTTCAAAAGTTTAAAATCAAGAGGATGGCTTCACTGCCTTGGGTTTTATAACATTAAGCAAAATGATTAACAAATGGGTTACAAATGGTTAGAGGCATCCAGTGTGGCAGTATCCAGACAGGTGATTCTGTTTTATTTTCTTTCCATGTCATTGTTTATGAGCTCTGCATCTCTTTGGACTGTCAACTCTGAGAATCCCTGATTTTTCTGTTTCTCATACATTCAAACGTCAACATGAATATACTTAAAGAAATCAGCAGTCAACTTGGGGCTGTTGACATATCCACAGAGTTTGTCCTCAAAAGGAGCGTGTGTCAGCCAGAATATTCTTTTCTGTTCTGTATATGTTGGACACTGTTGCAGCAAGTGTATAGCCGTCATTTTTTTTTTGCTGATCCATCTGTTTATGCCTGAGTCTAGGTGTTACTTGAGTATTGTTCTTCTATATAGTTTATTGTGATTTTCCTTCTTTCTGTTTCATTCTGAGTGCTCTTTTTCTCAGTACCAGGAATATTTTCTGTCAACCCAAGCAGGTTGTCTCCAAGCAGGCAGTCTTGTGTAATGTGGATGGCATCTTTCCTGATCTTAGTTTTTTCAGTCTCTACAACGTTTTTTCGCTTTAGTTTATCCCTTCCTAGACCATTAAATCTTAGATACATGGGGTGATCCGCCAACATTCTAAATTTGTCTGATTGTTGCTGGGTTCTGTTGTCTCTCTCCTAACTTCCATTTGTTGCAGACCTGTGATCTTTTCTAGTTCAATAATAGCCATTGTCTTCATGGCCCCAGTTATAATCCACATTACTTGATTTTGGACTTTTTTTGATAAAGTTTGAATTTTGCCCACCCTGCATTAAAATATTCAAGGACTGGCCTCGCTATCCCAGTGTATAGCTTCATGAGAACCTTCTCATGATTGCCATTCTTTGCCTTGCTCTTGTTCAACTTGCCTCTACCTGTGTCTTCTATGTCAGGTGGCAATGAAGTGTAACATCAAAGTATTTCGGATTGTTCTCCTAAAGCAGCATGTTTCCATTTAGCACTAGCTTAATTAGCTGTTTTTTATTTGAGATGAAGAACACAGTGCATGTTGTTTTTGCATTGAACTATTAGCTGTACTAATTTTTTGTTCGCTAATCCAAAAATCTAAGTCGCCTGAAAGGATGAGAGATGTGTGAACTCTGGCAAGAAAATTATTTGAAATGTCAGTTATAAATGCCAAGAACAATGTTGGTGACAATACTCCCACTTGGGGTACACCTTGCTCGAACACTATTTTTTGCTAGTTTGTCCTGACAGTTCTGTTCTCAAGGCAGTGACTGGTCCATTTGTACATTTTCCCACAAACGGGAATTTTTATTTATTTTTTTTATTTTACTTTCAGTCTCTACTTCCATGCTTTATCAAATGCTTTTTCTAAGTCTACCCAGACTGCTAGTGTGTGTTTTTTCCCTTGGAAGACATCCTCTATTTCCTGGGCTTTATATGTTATTTGATCTTCAGTAGATCTGTACTTTATCAATCCTGCCTGTTATGGAGTTCATCATCAACAGTTCTAATTATGCCTAGTGGCACATGAGGCTTCAGAGAGGACTTTCCATGCTTTCCTGTCCTGTGCAATCTTCAGTGCAGTTTTCCATGTCAAAGATTCCACACTCAGGTCACTTTCCATCGTTCGTCTCCATGTTGTTTTTGGGCGCCCCTGTTTTCTCTTTCCCTCTGGTGTCCATGTGAGAGTAGTTTTGGCGGGTATATCAGGATTCATTCTCATAACGTGGCCAAGTCATTTCCATCTTCTCTTGGTTATCATACTGTCTAAAGTTTCTTGGTTTGTGACTTGAAGTAGTTTAGTGTTTAAGATTGTATCTGGCCAGAAAATTTTGATAATTCTATGTAGACATGTGTGGTGAAAGGTGGACCGCTTGTGTGCATCCTTTTTGGTCATTCTCCAGCATTCCGCTTCATAAAGAAGAACTGGCAAAATGATGCTCTAATGTTATGGAGTTAGAAGGTGTTTTTCTTCAGGATGTCTCATTAACCTGTTACTTATAATGTGTTCCATCAATTTCCCTTCACAGCTAAGTAAGCTGATTGGTCGCTAAGCATTTGGTTCAACCGGATCTTTTCCTTTCTTCTGGACAGCTATAAGTATAGCTTCCTTCCATGCCTGAGGGACTCTTCCTCTCTTCCAGCTGCAATTAAAGACTGCTAACAATTGTCTTTTTGCCTCAGTACCCAGTCCTATTATCTTTTCATCTGTGAACTCACATGATTTCTTATTTTTCAGTGAACTCACTGCCTGATGCAGCTCTTCCACATTAAGATTTTCCATCATAAATTCTGATTTCTTCTGATTCTTGCTTCTTTCCTGCTGTGATATCAATGTGATTTATACTAGCATAGTATTCTATCAATGTATTTGCAGCCTTTTTCCAGATTAGTATGCTGTTACCCTGCTTAACAGTTATTTGTTTGTCACTAGAAACTTCACTGTTCATGGCTTTTACTGGTTTCGACAATTTATTTCCATCCTTGTCTCAGTTCAGGTTTTCTGTGTTTTTTTTTCTTGCCAGAAATTTCTATTTGTTTGATTTAATGTTCTGTATTTTGCTGAGACTGCTTTCAGTGAAATTTTTGATTCAAGTGTTTGTTCTCTCTCTGCTGTCTTCCTGGCCTCTGACTTTTCCTTCCAGAATCTGTAGGTCTTTTATCCAGGTGGGTTTGTAATTTTTTTCTTCAAACCTCTTGGGATGCATTCATATGCCACATGCAGTGCTGCTTTGTTTAGACTTTCCACTTTTGTCTTCATGTTGCCATATCATGTGTTTATGTTTTTACAGTATGTGTCTGTTAGCAGAGCAAACTTATGCCAGTCAGCTCTGTAATTCCAGCGAGGCAATGGTTTCTGCTCCTGTAGGACATAATTCATTGTTACAACAAGTTTCACTGGTGATCGCTGCCTGCTAACTGATTTAGAACACTGTGATCAATGTTGGTGTCAGTATCTGAGTATCCCCATATTTCTGTGCGGCTATTAAAGTCTCTAACTACCATACAGTTTATGTAATTTATTTCCAGTCCTGAAAGTTCAAGATCTTTGTTTGTTGGGCTAGACAAATTTTATATTCTGATTTTCTCCTTCATTTGTATGATATCGACACCTTTAATTTTGGATTCCCTATTTGAGTTTGCAGGTTCTTTGCTGCCCTTCTCTCTTGTGCCCTTCTCGGCCGTAGCGTACAGCCTGCTATCATCTGACTAAATATCTGTGTGTCTCTTTGATGCATGCCACATCAATTTTTTCTTCATGAAGGCGTTTTGTTTATTTAAGACTCCTTCAGTGTTCCACTGTAATATGTTGAGTGTCTTGGAAGTCTGGTCAACAGTTTCCCCCCTGATGCCCTGTGTCTTGACTTCACAGCACAGGGGTAGGTGGCCGCCAGTAGTGTTGGGTGGACCCCTTCAAGGCACGGGGTCCTGCACTATCTCTGCCTGGCGGGGCTCCATGAGATTAGCTTCTTTTTTTATATATTTTCATTTGTGACATGAAATTAAAAGAGTGTCTCTCTTCTTTTGGTTCCTCTCCTTCAACCTGCCTGACATGGGAGACTCTACCAGTAGCCAAGCTACTGTCAGCATAGCTCTTAGGGTCATTGGAACACACAAGCTCCTCTACCAGAAGAAGGTGGAGAAATATCAGAGGGGGTGTGGGAAACTAAAGCTTATGAATAATTTCCCATTGAAATGAATGAAACAGCATCTCAAGTTAATGATATATTTTTTGGCTCACTGGTTTGTGGATATCATCAGTGTGTGTGTGAGTGAGAGAGAGAGAGAGAGACAGACAGAGATAGAAAGAGAAAGAGAGATTTGTGTGTGTGTGTGTGCGCGTGCATGCATGTGTGCATGCGTGTGCGTGCATGTGTGTGTGTGTTCTGGTGCTTCCAAGCATTTTTTTTGCAATTTATCTAACGTATTTTTATATTTAAAGATTATCATTTTTAGTAGTAAAAGGTTATCATTTTTAGTATTAAAGATTATCATTTTTAGTATAAAAGATTTTCATTTTTAGTATAAAAGATTATCACTGGTCCTTAAAAGTGTATCACTATTTGAGCATAGTAAGTTCTAAAGCCACTGGTTTGGGTTTTTTAAAAACAGATAGATGAGTATGAGTTAAAATGAATAAGTAGAATCTCACTATTATTTCCTGTGCTATTACTTCAACTGTCAGTAATAGAACTGAAACTAATGTACAATCAACTGATAATTAGATGTAGCAGCTTTCCCTGATGACAGTTTTTAGGTGGGATTTCAAGGCCAAGTGTCTTACAGCTCATGAAAACCCTAAGCATAGCATGATAAACCAGGTTTGTTTCATCAGTGTAACTCTGCCCGGCATAATGATCAGCGTCAAAATTAACAAACAGAATAAGATAATCTATCATTAAAAAACAAACTGACATTAGATATCACTTCAAAACAAAAACCATGCCATTGCAAAAAATAAAGAAACAACAACATGGTTCATAAGAATATAAAATATTACCTGGAGGTTCCGGAAGTCCTATGTGGGTGTTGATTAAATATCCTTCTGGTGAAGACTGGTATAGAAACAAACCTGCTGCACTTCTCCTCAACACAGGCTGGGTCAATGGAAGGCACAATCGTTGATGCAGAGTCCGACGGTCCTTTTCTGGTGATATATTCATGTTTATGTAAACAATGTGCAGGAACACTGGCTGGAGAATATTTATTCCAGCAAATACATTAGCAGTCATCAACATGAAAAGAATGGTACTGAACTTCAGATATAGAAAACAGAAGCATTTAAAGATGAATACTCAGCACCCAGACTGGCATGTTAGTTTGATCTTCATAATACAAACTGCAGTGGACTGTTTATTGCTTTTATTATTATTATTATTGATGATAACAGAAGAAATATTTTGGATACTGATGGCACATAAAATGCAGTGTATCTCTTTTAAGTCACTGAAATTTTAAAAAAAACATTTTGTATGTCAGCTGTACGCAAAATATTAATCATAGAGACTGAACAATAGTAAAGGTAATTTAGGTACTAACAAATTCTATCTTTTCATATATTGTGAGACAATAATACTGTGTGACTTCATATCTCCACTATTCTTGTACCAGATGCACTCCAAGTTTGAAGGATGCATACCTTATTAGTCGACTTTTACAAATTGCTTGTTAAAGGAGCAGTGGGTCTATTTCTTTTTCCCAGCAAAACAAAACGGGCCCTAGAACCCACACAGGGAAATGCGAATTCAAGCCTATGACCACCAGGTTGGCAGGCGAGGATGCTAGCCGCTGCACTAACACTCAATCTATACACATACTGGTAATGGATACAACACACTGGCTAACAAGATTACTAGTTGGTCTTAGTTTTTAACACACTTACCAAGTTCATGATCCGACATTCCTTTTGCATAGACTACAGTCAGTGGAGTGTCCAAACAGGAGGGTTTAAAGTGAAACACTTCTGGTGTGCACAAATGATTTCTCTGCAGACAGATTATTTCAGCAGTTTCACCAATAAAATAAAATGAGTCGTGCCGGCAAAAAAGAAAATGGCTGATTCCATCAGAGTTGACAAAAAATCTGGTCCTATTTATGGAATTCAGTGCAACTAAACACTGGCTGACCTTCCATTCATGCTTGCTCAGGCTGGTATACGTCAGAGGGGTGTCATCACCATCTCCGATGGTATCACTAAAGAACGACCCGACATCTAGAATTGGCCCTAACCCGAACTCCCCTGTGCACAGCCTCAGCCAAGGTCCCACAAGAGAGTCTAGAGTACATCCCATGACTTCAGAATTGTTAACATTTTCCGCTACCCTCTAAAAACCCATTTTCGGCACTGTACCTGAAGTCCATAATATATGCAATCTTGCCACCCGCTTGCAGCAGCATAGCTTGCCACCTATATACGCACAATATAATAACCTCTTCATGAAAACCAGACAAAGTGACACCCCTCTATCATAGACTAGTCCGTGTCATGGGTGACAAAGCATGAATGAAATCCCAGTTATACTATGTTTGGGCCGGGAAATGTAAATAACATCAAAGTCCTTGACAACCAAAGGTTTTTTTTTTGGTGGGGATACAATTCAGATTATTTCATTCTTCACTTTTGGATCTTTCTAGAAGACAGAACTATTACATTAAAGTAAAAATAAATAAAAATCATTACACATAATTCCTTGTATGGGCATTTGTTGTGAGGGAAAAGAACAGACTTATTGCCCTGCCACTTAACAAGCAGGTTTAACAAAGTGACTAATTAACAATTTGCTAAAACCAGATATGCTAAGCCAAAATACACATATATCAACCTAGATGAAAACATAATATAACAGTATCATTCATATCCTGCTTTCCCAAATCTTTATATAATAGTACAGGCTAACCTTGACATTTTATATCAGATGTAATTCACAATGAAGGATGTCCTTAGGGACTTTATCAGTCACCTTTGATGACACAGTTGTTAGAGGGAAATTTTATACTGTTGAATAACATGACACAACAAAGATTCAACCTATCTGTAAACTGATCAGTAATAAAACAGCGAAACAAAACCTTCACACGCATTGATTAGAAGTAAATCACTGATTAACTAGAGGTGACATTACTAATTAACTAGATGTGATGATCTTCTTCTTCCTTTTCACCTCCTCTTTTACAGCTTCGAGTGTCGAGGAGGGCATAAGGTTCTGTTTCTTGCTCTTATGATTGCCTCAACACAAACACATCATACCGTTGTAGAATTTCTCTACTGTTAACTGTCCATTTTGTTCTTGGTCTACCTCGTGCTCTGCATCCTCATCTTTTGGTGTATGCCTCAAATGGTGTGGAATTACAAGGCATTCTCTCTCAGTGGGCAAATAATATGATTTGCTGTCTTTGTATGTAATTTAGAATTTGTTGATTAAGTATGTCATATTTAGTTCATCAACTAGATGTGACATCAAAGCCCTCAGAACACATCACCACAGACTGTCAACTCAGCATGTGCCATCTGTGACATCCCTCACTGTCACCAGGCGCCTCTAGAGGACACAATTACCAAACAGGAAACACTGCCAAGCATTACCCCATTCAACCCATACATTATTTCCATGTTATATCAAAGGGCAGAATAAGGTAAATTTTATAGTCTCTTAAGACAAAGTGTGCACAGGCACATACTAGTGGCATCATCATAAGGGAAATCCCCACTAAATTTGTTTTTCTTTTTTGCTTTTAACCGGGCATGAGGACAACAATTAGTCCCAGGTTTGAGAAAACCAAATCCCTTTTTAAGAAACTGACATACCCACATCTATTACTAAAAATAGACAGGGGACATCCATGCCCTCCAAGACAAAAAAAAGGGGGAGAAGTAATCTGGAGGGGACCCACTCCCCATGGCCCAGGAGACATAACATGCCAGCCACAGACCAGGCCAGATGTGCTTTCCAGTCTAAGAGAACTAGTTCACATTTTTAGATAGCAGTTTGAGCCCAACACTGTAGTCTACAGGGCATACTAACCAACCATCTCCAGGTAATGGAAAATAATAATATAAGCCATCTTTTTATTCGGTTAAGAGCTGTTTTCTTTTATATCTTAGAGAAACTACCACAAGGCCACAACATATGCTCAGTTTAGAAGGATTCACATTTTTCTGCAAACTTAAGTTTGTCTTTGAAATCTCACTGCTAGTACTCATGAATTATTTAGCCATCTGGTGTTCTACCTCTACACTGCTGTCTTGTCTTTGTGAGTCTTAGTCCATGTTGTGTCAGAAGATAAAACACTTAAATAATTATTTTATATAAATAATTGCCATGTTTTTTAGCAAAATATTAATTAAATTTACTATTGGATAATTATGACTGTGTTTACTATGACTGATTAATATAGATAGAAGCACCAAATATTCATGTGGGGGAATTAATGATTTCACATGAGTGTCAGAAAGTCAGGAAAGTCTGACACAATCATCACCATCACTGAGATATTTACTCCACTTGGTGGGACTTGTTTGGTTTTGAATTTCAAAGTAATTACCACTGTCATAATTTGAGGGGAATGCTCTATTTTAATATCATCATATAGGTGAGAAGATGGAGGACATTTCATCTGGACTAGACGTAAGTCAGAAGGGAGAGCTGATGTTACAACAAATATGTGAGACACATTTGAATACCCCTCCTGCAAATATGGGGAGAATGAGAGAGGGGAGAGTTAGGGATATGTATTATATATACTACACATAGATCTAAAGAAGTATTTGTTTTGACTGTGTCCACCCTTAGTTACTGAAAAGCTGAGAAGATAATCCCTGTTGCCTGAGATAAGACTCTGGTGATGCCGAGAACACTGCCTGACTGGCTAAGGATGAGAATTGAGAGCCTATGAGGAAAGATCTTCTTTGTTGAGTGTGGGACTGAACAAGCACACAATACACCAGGCTGTAGTTGTTCTGTAACATCTCTCATAATATCTCCATACCTGATGTAAGTGATCAATAATAATATTATTTTGTCCATTTTCATCTATTTAGTTTGAAACTTGTAGTCAGAACCAACGCAATGAGGCATTAATTTTTTTTTTTTAAACATCTATTTTTCCAATAGTAGTTGTAGCTAAATTGTTTATAGATGTGGAACAATTTGTCAAATTATATTATAGGTCCAGGATCTAAAATAGGAGCTCAATCTACAAATAACTAGAATGGGAATCCCTGTGTGAGAAGGATTACCCTGTCTAGTATTAATCTCTTAAACATATAAGTTCCTCTCTCTAATTATGCGGATACTCAACCAGCTTACTTTTATTTTAGGCCAATTATAAGTTGTAACTATGTGTTATAGGTTGTAACTATGCGTTATAGGTTGCAACTATGTGTTAAAGGTTGTAACTATGTGTTATAGGTTGTAACTATGTGTCGAGGGACATTGTTAATATTATTAATATTTGTCCCAGTTTTCTCACTTCGATTAGGAGGTAGGGATGCAACAAATACCCATCCCCAACAAATCAGTGTGTTAAACTATCAATCTATTACACTGACTTAATTCATGCATCTCTGGTGTCAAAGGTGTCCACAGAGGAAGCTTACTGTCACTGTTCACAATGCTTGCTCTCAGGAAAAACAGACCGCATCCATAACCGATCTTTGGCCTCATGTATTCAACTAGTAAACTATATTGTGTGTGTGTGTGTGTTTTTTTTTTTTTTTAGTCTCTGCAATGTCTGCTTTTTTTTTCTTTCTTTCTTTTTCAGCCAGTCCTTTTCTACCACTTTAATCCCCCAGGAAGGTTGAAAAAATGAAATGCAAACTAAGGATATCTAGAATTCAGACACACACAGCAAAGATAAGTGGTCATCATAATCTCTAAAAGGCATAACCTGGTAAACAATGAAAACTTAAACAAGTCGTAGCATTAACTGGTAGCATCAAAACACTGAAACAGACCTTAGCATAAGCGGATAAACAGTGAAACATAGACACAATCTGTCTTGCCACAGACTCATTCAATATGCCATGTAGCTGCAGCACAGGTAGTCTGTCATCTACCTCTACAAGCACATCAAGTGGTAACATGAGGTTGGTGGTTTTAAATGACCCTAGGAGGAAAATATAGGTAACAAATTGTTTTTCATGTAACATGTTTTCAGGTAACTATTAGGTAATGAATGACTGTTGTCAAGTAATTATAATGTAATCAATGTTTTCAGATCTGGACACTGAGAAAAACTGGTTTTTAAACTGCATCCCATTCCCAAAGCTGAGGCAGATCTCTGTGAATGTGGATATCGGACACTGGATAATGTGGATACAGGAGACTGGATAATGTGGATACCGGACACTGAGGATGCATTGGCTATGAATGAAAGCCCACAGGGATGGTAAACTGGTTATAGAAAGAGAGCCTTTCAGGGTTGCCGTGATGAGTGACATTCTGTAAAGGACCTGTTGATCGATGATGACTATCATGCGGTGGCAGTTTTCAGGTTATTAAAATCATACAATGGCTATTTAAGGTTACTACGCTGGTATTAATTCTCCACATATGTTTATATCTAGCAAATGTAACATACTCATACCCACACTATGCTACCACTGCCAGATAAGGGCACAGAAACAGACCCCAGGCAGCAGCAGCACAAGTTTTTGAACACAGACATAGTGAAGAAAGCGGGAAAAAGCACTGGGACTATGAGATCGAAGCAGCAGCAACAATTGCAGGTGAAAGCGATCATAAAAGTAGTGGGAAAAGCTACCTCCCCTGACGATGGAGATAAAAAGATAACTGAACTGAAAAATCTGCAGATCTTGATGAAAAAAAAAAAGAGACAAAAACCTAGAAAGACTAGAAGAGAGTGCAACAGTTCAATAAATAAAACAGAATCAAAACAACCTCATGACGAACAATGCAAAAAATACAACAAGCACTGAAAAAAGATGACCAATCAAAAGATGAGAATGATACTTCAGAGCAAGCCAGTTACTCAGACGTAGAGGCAGTTGACAGCCAAGACGAAAGCAGCCCTGTCAGAGCAAAGATACCTCCCGCCAGCCACAGCCAATGAGAAAAAAGCCAGACGACAAGAAGTTTCAGAAAAGGCCGACGTAGTCCTTTACAGGATAAAGTTCTTCTCAGGATAACACCAAAGGAAGCAACATAAGACCCACCCATCAAGCATATCAAAAAGGAAGAAACACCATCAATCAGGCCAATTATAACTTACAAAATACAGGTTAAACAGGGTCAATGTATAGGGAATGAAAATCACATCTGGTTGATAAAATTGCCCCCCCCCCCTCCCCACATGTATATAACTTACCAACGTTGTGTCGTATAATTGGAGCATACTGAAGTGTCCCTGGAGGCTCCACTGTTGACAGCTGCAGCAAGGACACAGGCACTGGTGTCTGGGTTATAAAATATGCACAGATCTTTCAAAAAATACAGAAGATGCTACTACCTTTTGTATTCTTCTGTGATTCTATTACCCCTTCCCCCCCCCCCCCTCTCCCCACATTTATATGTCACATACAGCAGGCCTGAATTGTCTGACCCACAATCATATCTTTTCATACGCTGCTGTAATTAAGGATGGTGTTCAGATCTTTCTGTGAAGTCTGAACCTACAGACATACCTACCATGGAGAAAGACTATTATGCGGAAACTACTTTGTATCAGTAGTAACTTCTGTTTTTAGTGACAAATTTTACATATCTGTGTCAATGTCCTTCTGCCTTTGTTCTTGTTTCAGTGCAGATACAATGTTTACTGCAGAAATGAACCCGACAGTTCCCAGTTTTTTATTTATTTGTCAAATTTTTACAAATACAGTATAGACACTGAGAGAATGTACATGATGAAATTACTTGGCATTACTCTAATAGATACTTATCGTATAAGTATCATGTAGACAATGTAAGGACATTACTGGAAGACCTGGGTTCAAATCCTCAGTAAGGTGATTGATTTTCTGTCTAACCTGCACAGTCCATAATCCTCTGGCTTAACATTGACCTCTTGACAGTGGTATAAGGGTAGTAAGAATATGCCTGAAGGCGTGGACAACAGACTTTTACTTTACTTATAAGGATAGTAAGAGACAGCTGCTTTTAACAGTGGACTACTGTAGTTGAGAGTAGTGCTCATATTCTTCTCCTAGCTTACATGTCCCAATGGAACATAGGCCCTCAACCAACCCATGCTATGTCCTTTGTAAACTTGATCATAACCTTCTGGGTTTTGAAGTTCTCTACAGGATAACGTAGACAGCCTGACATAAACTCTCCAAAGTCATCTATTATGACTAGCATGGTGGACTGCAATGTTACCGTTCTTTGCTTTATTTATGGGTCACAGTAAAATATATGTGATTTCCCAACAAAACTACAGACTTAACATGTCGCCATGGTGTTAAATGTGCTCACTATTTATATTATAATATCAATTAGCATAACTAATTCCACTAATCAATTTCCCAGACAATTAAGTACAAGCATTTGAAAAGCACTGCTGGGTGGTGAATAAATATATGACAAGGCAGATGTGGTCCATTGTACCTTTTTACCATTTAAGCCCTTTGGGAACAAGTAACGAAGTCAGAAGAGAAACTAGATTATTATGGGCTGGAAAGGCAAGACGGACATACACCTAGACTACAACTGGCACCATTACTATTGGAACTCTGCACTGGCTGCTGAGGATTGGGACGGAGCACATATGGGAATGCCCCGAGGGCTGTGATATCAATTCTTGACTCAGCTTAAATCAACTTTTCAAAAGTGCCAATAAAATTATGTTTTATAATTATTTCAGTTAATGATATGAATGCCCAACCGATCTCAGACATAAATCAGAATAACAAAATGTAACTTCCTTTTGTGACTTTCTTATTCTTCAGTATTCTGAGCCTCTGAGGTTCACTACTGCAAATATCAACCAGCTCCATTCATGTCATTGACCATCCTAATTTGAGGCTTAAATTTTCTGTGTTTTTTTAAAAGAATATATAAATTAAATATTTTGTTTACCTGATGAACCAAACCTGTCCCTTTTCTTCTTCCCCCGAGCTGTCCTCCCTCCTCAACCAGCAGATGTTTGCAGATATCTTTGCATGTGGTCCAGTCTTCAGCAACAGATCCCAGAGGAGATCGTTTGCCCTGAATAATCACTTTGTTATCATCAAAGCCAAAGAGAAAGTCACCAGCCTGCACATGATTTTGGAGTTTCATTAGCTCGTTGTCCAAAGCTAATTTAAGCTGTTCTTCTGAAGATGAAATATTCCAGAAAATACATTTCAGAACTGAATCTGATAAATGGACTGTCAATAACCACCACTAAGCTGTTAAGGCTTCTATTTTTAGGTAAACAAAAACAGTACATACGGCAAGGGAAAAAAGGTAGGTCTACAGAAAATATATTAGTTTCTCAGACAGACAAAACAGACAAAAGATATGCCTAAATATGCAATATTTACAACCAAAAACCAAACAAACAAAAAACAAAACAAAAAAATATTAGTTTTAAACATTCTTTGTATATCTGGATTATTTGCTTTTGTAATGTGTTCAGATGTAATATTTCAGCTCTCAGATAAGTTTTTGCTTGCAGTTTCTAGATAATCTTTGCTTCAGATTTGTTCTATCTGAAGTGGTTGAAATAAACTGTTGATGTTCCTTTGCTCTATGCCATAACCTGATTTTTTTTTTTAAACTCTATTTACTGCCTATTTGTACCATTTTTTTAGATCAGTGTCGGATAGAAGCGCCTTGAGCCTGAGGATTTAGATGTATGGCTAGTGCAGCTCCCTAGGATTTGAACCTGGGTCTTCTGTATGAAAGCCCAGTGTTTTTAAACACTTGGCCAGTCATTTCCTCCATAACTTTATAGACATCTAATAAATTTTTTTTAACAACATTTCTGTGTTTATAACAGAATTTCTTGCTTATTTATCAACTGAAATTAGGGAATTAAAAAGCACGACTAAGCAGTCACAATTAAACAAGTGATGTTATCAGAGCTGACATCACTGTACATTAGGCATTCACATGAGTGCTCTGTCCATCAATGCAGCAGCCACCCCTGGCATTCTACAAGTGCTCAAGATGCTGAGATATGTCAGCTGGTAACAAGAAAATGCTGTATTATTTTGAAAACACCCATTATTATTATATAGGGGGTTAGGGGAATAAACAGCATTCAACGGCTTTTATTTTCTCCGAATAACAGATCATTAATTGTCTGCATAAATGAGACCAATTCGTACTTGGATAGCAAATGTAGAGAAAAACAGACATGGAACCAAATAACACAGTTATGGGCCCCAAAGTAGTCTGTGCTCATTGAACTTTTCAGTGCTTAAAAATTTTCCAGACTGATTCTTTGGTATGTCTGGTAGTTGAACAAGAAAGTGGCTTCTGTGAACTCCGAAGAAACATCCTGGATATTTGTTCAATTATGTATTTCAAATTTCTGACAAATATTCTGGTTAAATAATTCATCATTACAACAGTGTTCCCATTAAAAATTGTACTAAGACTTAAAACAGAACTATATTTCTATTTTTAAAATATTGCAAATGTAAACTGTATACAGGATATTGCAGACGGCACCAACCTGAGTCAGATTCTGTTGTTATCAGCACTGGTATATCTGCCCTGACTCTGAATCTGGCCACACTTTTAGATGGTAAATTGTGGACAATGTTCACCACACCAACACCTTCTTCACTAAGGGTATAGATACAATGTTCAAATAGACCATCTGAGTCAGTGTGATGCCAAAGACAGACAACAATCATCTGAGTGAGACCCAACTGTTCCTGAAATATATCAATACAATTTATTCATAAACTGCACACAATAAATGCATTCAGATATTCCTTCTCATAGGTAAGATTATTTTCTATCAGAGACAGTCTGACTTCATGTTCATCTACTTTTGCTTTCACGTGTCAAATAAATATCTTGAATTAGCTGGAGAAAAGACATATTTCAGAAAATAACCAATTTTATGCTTTCAGCAACCTATGACAGCCCAGCAAGCCAGCTAAGTAAAACTGATTTGTTCGTGTAAAACTGTTCAAGAATTATGGAGTAAGAAGACTGATAACATTAGAGACATTGTATACTCCCATAAACTATAACAGCTAGTGACACCCTCTGATTGCTGGACCACCAAATAATTCTCCCCATGACACCTGGTATCAATATCAAAAGTGGAAGGCAGTAAAAATGATGCTTTATATTCTTAAGCAAATTTCTTCTTCTTCTTCTTCGTTGCCCAGCTGTGAGCTCAGGTGTTTGTGTGGCTGTTTGTCCATTTGGACTTTGGCTTTGTGCCAGGACCTGAGTAATGTCTCATGCTAGGCTCATTTATTAATAAAGGCAGTTAACGAATCATGTGCTCAGTATCATGTCAGGTAATTTTACAAATCTGCCTCAATGGTGGTTTGAACCAATGACCACCAGTCAGGAAGTCCCAAGCACTTCTTCTTGTGTGAATAATTCTACCCCTTGACCCAACCCCCCTCCCCCTCAACAATATCATAATGTGCTCTCTTACTTCTAACGTTTCTTCTTCTTTGCTGTCACCAGCTGTAAACTGGCAGAAAGTTCTGGGTGTTCATCCACCTCTAGACTTTAGTTGTGTTCCAGAACCTGAGTGGTGCATGACATATGTTTCACATATCTGGCTTATTTGTATGCAGGCTGTTGGTCCCTTGCCTCTCAGGTAGATGTACTCTTAACATTAAAGGATACCCCCAATTAGTCTACTCCTATGACATGCTTGTCAGGAAGACAGTGGGTCTATTCTTATTTTTCCCCACAATGGAGCCCCTCAATAGACAAGACAACAGAGCATCTAAAAAACCCAAGCTCAACATGAAACCAGGAAGTAGGTATAGGGAGTGGGGGGGGGGGGGGGGAATTTGAAGGGCTATAATACGAAACAAAACAAGTAAGGAGGCATATGTCTCTTCTTCTTCTATTGTTCGCTTTAAATAGATTATCTATATCTGCAATAATGTCTCTAGTATGAACTTCACTGTCTGTTGGAGGCATATGTATAATGCCACTATGACAGCAATGCATTTATGATTTTTTTCTACCATGATTATTTTTCACTTTGGCAAAACCTTCTGGTGCTGACAGAATTAACATATGATATGGTCAACATCCTGCCGGCAACCTTTACTTCTCAAAAGATATTTCCTGGTACTCATTTTAGACTGGGTCAACTTCGGAACCCAGATCATTTATAAAGAAATCTGCATAATATATGAACACCATACAACTATATAACATTGTACAACTAGCCCATGTGGCTAGAGAAGTCAAAGATAAAGCATGATGTCAAACAAATCAAAAGAAAAGCATGATGTCAAACAAATCAAGTGCAAAATACAAGGATGCAACTAACCAGCCATGTGCTATAGCTTCCAAAGACCTCTTCAAATTCTCTGTCAATGCCAGCATCATCACTTTCTTCAAACGACTTGACAGACTGCGGGGAAAGCAGGAGTACCACACCCACAACACTTCTACCTAAAATGATATACATATTTTCAAGTAATCAGCTGAAGCACAAAATACTTACTCCTGCAAAACATGAATGCATATGTGGGTATAAAACCAAAGCATATAATGTTAAAGGTAAGTATGAAATATATCAAAATGGAAGCCCAGTTAAAACCGGAGAAGGCTTTCAAAAAGGTCTCTTAACAGCGAAACACAGAAGAAATGTAGAACCCTTTTAATTCTGACTTGAGTGAGTATGCTCCAAATTCAATTAGGTAACTGAAGTGGCCCAAAACATATTTTGGCTGTCAATTTGTTCTACAGTAATCTCACCACAAGTTGTTTCCTAAGATCAACAATCTCACCATCAGGTGTTTCCTATCTCAGAACAACCATCTCACCACAAGGTGTTTCCTATCTCAGACCAACAATCTCGCCACAAGGTGTTTCCTATCTCAGACCAACAATCTCGCCACAAGGTGTTTCCTATCTCAGACCAGCAATCTCGCCACAAGGTGTTTCCTATCTCAGACCAACAATCTCGCCACAAGGTGTTTCCTATCTCAGACCAACAATCTCGCCACAAGGTGTTTCTTATCTCAGACCAACAATCTCGGAACAAGGTGTTTCCTATCTCAGACCAACAATCTCACCACAAGGTGTTTCCTATCTCAGACCAGCAATCTCGCCACAAGGTGTTTCCTATCTCAGACCAACAATCTCGCCACAAGGTGTTTCCTATCTCAGACCAACAATCTCACCATCAGGTGTTTCCTATCTCAGACCAACAATCTCGCCACAAGGTGTTTCCTATCTCAGACCAACAACCTCACCATCAGGTGTTTCCTATCTCAGATCAACAATCTCATCATCAGGTGTTTCCTATCTCAGACCAACAATCTCGCCACAAGGTGTTTCCTATCTCAGACCAACAATCTCACCATCAGGTGTTTCCTATCTCAGACCAACAATCTCACCATCAGGTGTTTCCTTCTCAGACCAACAACCTCACCATCAGGTGTTTCCTATCTCAGACCAACAATCTTACCATCAGGTGTTTCCTATCTCAGACCAACAATCTTACCATCAGGTGTTTCCTATCTCAGACCAACAATCTCACCATCAGGTGTTTCCTATCTCAGACCAACAATCTCACCATCAGGTGTTTCCTATCTCAGACCAACAATCTCGCCACAAGGTGTTTCCTATCTCAGACCAACAACCTCACCATCAGGTGTTTCCTATCTCAGACCAACAATCTCATCATCAGGTGTTTCCTATCTCAGACCAACAATCTCGCCACAAGGTGTTTCCTATCTCAGACCAACAATCTCACCATCAGGTGTTTCCTATCTCAGACCAACAATCTCACCATCAGGTGTTTCCTTCTCAGACCAACAACCTCACCATCAGGTGTCTCCTATCTCAGACCAACAACCTCACCACCAGATGTTTCCTATCTCAGACCAACAACCTCACCACCAGATGTTTCCTATCTCAGACCAACAATCTTACCATCAGGTGTTTCCTATCTCAGACCAACAACCTCACCATCAGGTGTTTCCTATCTCAGACCAACAATCTCGCCACAAGGTGTTTCCTATCTCAGACCAACAATCTCGCCACAAGGTGTTTCCTATCTCAGACCAACAATCTCGCCACAAGGTGTTTCCTATCTCAGACCAACAACCTCACCACCAGATGTTTCCTATCTCAGACCAACAATCTTACCATCAGGTGTTTCCTATCTCAGACCAACAATCTTACCATCAGGTGTTTCCTATCTCAGACCAACAATCTTACCATCAGGTATTTCCTATCTCAGACCAACAACCTCACCACCGGGTGTTTTCTTTCTTAGAACATGAACCTTACTATCAGGAGTTTCCTATCTCAAACAATCTTACCATCAGGTGTAACTATCTCAGACCAACAATCTTACCATCAGATGTTTCCTATCTCAGACCAACAATCTTACCACCGGGTGTTTCCTATCTCAGACCAACAACCTCACCACCGGGTGTTTTCTTTCTTAGAACATGAACCTTACTATCAGGAGTTTCCTATCTCAAACAATCTCACCATCAGGTGTTTCCTATCTCAGACCAACAATATCACCATCAGGTGTTTCCTATCTAAGACCAACAACCACACCACCAAGTGTTCCTATCTACATGTATGATGCATGTATCTTTACAATCATATTAGAATTCCATATCAGATTCTCGGTGACTGCCATACCTACATAGATAAGCAGTACTGTCATACTGCACCCTTCAGTTCACGAGTGCAATTTTTACGGAGATCCCTGAGGATTGTCCCAGGAGCTGTAGAGTTTGTGCTCTGTGCAGCACTCTTGGCAGGTGGCTAGCTTTTTTGTGGAGAGAGACAGAGCTCTATGGGTTAAAATCCAATGCAATGAAGTTGATCCTTTCGACTTTAACCTTTAACTAGCACAACTAAATGTGTTCAGTCTTCAAAATGGAAAAAGTACAGAGTCCTGAAAAGATAACTAGATCAATGTCAAGATTGAAAGTAGATGTAACAAGGCAAATCAGGTCAGAAGTCCTCAGAGCTCACAGCCAACTTTGCCAACTAGTTGGTGATTGGTTGGTTGGTAGTTGGACAGACCTTAACTCATAAACTCTGGAGACCCTGAACTGACAGTCAGGTCACCTAAACCATGAAAGGGCTTGCATCTCTTAGGGTGAAACTTGTGTAGAGACTTTTTTTGCAACCCAGCTCTAAAGCACCATCCTTCACCTCTTATTTTTCCTCTTGTGATCACATCCTTAATTTATGAAAAACCAGCAAGGTATGAAGTACAACTGCATGATCTTCACACTTCCAGAGAGATATGCAAACCTTGGAACATTAGTCAAGACTAGGGAACCCATTATGTGCACAAGTTATATCATGGAGAGGTGCTCCAAGGTTAGGGCACTGTAAATCCTGGTCCCACCATGGAGAGGTGCTCAAAAGTTGTGTTACGGCAATGTAAATCCCAGTCACATCATGAAGAGGTGCTCCTAGGTTGGAGCAATGTAAGTTCCAGTCACATCATGGTGCTCCAAAGCTGCATTGTGGCAATGTAAGTCCCAGTCACACCATGGAGAGGTGCTCCAAGGTTGGAGCAATGTAAGATCCAGTCACACCCTGAAGAGGCGCTCCATTTTTGGGGCAATATAAATCCTGGTCAAACCATGATTTTACAAAATATTAAAAGGGTTATATTTTCTTTCTGTCATCATTAGACTTTAGTCTTGTTCCAGAACTTGAATTTTGCGTGCACTCTGTTTTG